CTGCGCCTAAAAATTATCTAACTCTTTAGGGCGGTGCGTGCTCTTTCTCTGGAACTGCCAATGGTTACACACTGCCATATAAGTCTAATAAATAAAGAATATATTGTAAAATCCAATTTTAAAATCTTTATTTTAAAATCAATATCAGGCATTCTTATATATAAACAATATTCCTCACATAACATATATAGTAGGGACATTAAACAAATACAGAGCATCACTTTTCTATTGAAAACACGCTATCTTCATCGGTATTGATGCCTTCATTCAGTATGGCCGGGCAGTATTTTTGTTTTTTAACTACCAAAGTCAGGATAAGATTTATCAATTATTAGTCCAGTTTCAGCTCTAAACCTATTTTTTGTATTTCAACTTTAGTCGTTTTTGCGGTACTTGTCGGTTAGGAGGCTTGGACGAAACTTCCCTCGTTATCTAATGTTACATCACAAAACCTCTTTTCTTATCTCGTCAAAGCTTCGAGTTATTCCATCGTTTATTTTTGTTTCATTTCTTTTATTTTCGTCAAACTATGGATGTTATTACATTCAAACGCTTATTACATTTACATTTAAACGCTGAGATAATTCCAAACGTGAAATTGTGTCAAGAAGGACATCAAATGAAGTTAGACAGGAAGCCAGCTCGTAGTTGGCTTCAGTGAAAGTTTTTGTCTTAAAACACGGGGTCAATTCGGACTTAAACGGTCATGTCTTAATGTGCGATTTTCTTGGTTGAATAGATCGAGGTTTTTTTTCTAAGTTTGATTCAATATTTCTACTTATATTGAATCACCATGTTTATAGCTTGTTTGTTTACAATCAGACTATAAAAGTTGAAATAAATGTAGCTGTTAGTTAACTTTTTCTAGTATAAAAGTAATATCTATCATGGTAGGCGACCTGAAAATGAAAAGTAATTTCTTAAGCCAACTTTTATTGAAAGGAGAAACTATAAATGGTTGTTTTAGTTAATTACTGACATATTTGTGACGATCAATTATTCATGTCTTGTGTCAAGTAAAAAACTGCTTCTGTTTCATTTTAATCATAGATCGGATAAAGTTTCCAATAAGACTATTTTTCTTCAAAGATATGTTGATTGATTGGAATGTGAACTTACAAATTAATTTTCAAGATAATACTAACTCACAGGATTCCTTTCATAAAGTGAGGAGGCCTATGAAAAATCTCAATAATTGTAGAGAAAGAACTTCTCCAATTTTAATTGTTTCTATAATAAGAAGAAAAAAATATCTGCTTATAATATAATTTATAGTTTTTATTATATTTCTATTTTAGATTAAAAAATGAAAAAGAAAAACGAGTAGGTTTTTAATATTTACTAATTTATTAAAAAATTGGGAGTATTTTTTTCCGAAAAATTAGGCTTTGTCCCACTGTGCGGCGCTGCACACTGGGTTTCTTGGACATCTGCTCTAAATTTTTCGGAAATTGGAGTATATTGCTCAAATCTTGTCTGTTTATGTTTTTGAGGGTTTTGGATATGAATTCAAGCCATTAAGTCGACCAGGCACATGCAGTAAATGTAAAATAATAAGATATTAAATTTTATTTTATCTCAGTAATATTTTTTCAGTTTAAAAGTTGTGTGGGTACATATGAAATATTAATGTTGTGTCCCTATAATCTTAATAATACATTAAATTAAATAATTTATATATATATGCATATAGAATTTCAAAGGTAAACAAAATATAAGATCGGCAAAAAGAGTATTCCTCAAAGAAAGATTGCAAACGATTGAGGACGACTGGCTGGAGATATACGCGAATTTTACGCAGACATTAGGAAAGAAAGGGTAGGATATAAAGCGAGAAATACGCAAATGCGAGGAAAAGATAGCATTCTGACGGCATCTAATGAAAGTATATTGAACATCTGGACAAAAACATTTCCAGGAACTTTTCAATCAAGGAGGCTCCACGAACGAACAAGACATGGACCACACTGAGGACCTTGACGCAGAAGCGGTTGAAAAATCAGATATATTAGATGTAGAAATGGCTATCGAAAGGCTCAAAACCAGAAAGGCCCCAGGGATAGATAACCTACCATCAGCACTGTTTCAAGATGGAGGAGACGACTTAAGAGCCAAGTTACTACAACTAATCCAATAAATATGGGAAGAAGAAAGGATACGGGCCTAATCTGTCCTATACTAAAAAAAGGCTCCATGTATGAGTGTAGTAATTACAGAGGCATAGTGCTCCTTCCGTTTGTCTACAAGATAATGACCAATATCCTACTAAACTGGATAAAATCGTATTACGAGAATATATAGGTGACCACCATGCTGGATTTATAAAACGGAGGAGCAAGCTAGACCAAATCCTTATCCTAAAACAAGTACCCAAAAAACGATGGGAAGTAGTAGGACGTCCACGCCCTATTTCTCGATTTCAAAAAAGCCTATGATTCTATGGACAGGAGCTGTCTTTGGAAAATCATGAATGGACTGGGAATTTCCGGTAAGTTGGTGAGATTGACAAAGGCGTGTACAAATAACCCCAAATGTAGAGTCCTAATACAAGGAGAAGTATCTGAAGCCTTCAAAATTCGCAAAAAAGGACTTGCGGCAGGGAGATGGACTATCAACAATGTTGTTCAACTTAGCCCTGCAGAAGGTAATAAGAGTAATAAAGTAATAAACTGTAAGAAAGAGTGAGAAAGTAATAAGCTGTCCTTGGAAGTAATCAAGAAGAGATTGATAACCGCGCTACAACACTTATAAAAGAAGCAGAGCAGATCGGTCTACAAGTAAACGAAGGCAATACAAAATATATGATAATAAGCTGAAAATTTCACACCAATAACAGGATCTGCGTAGAAAAAAAGTCATTTCCCAGAGTGAAAAAAATTCAATTACCTCGGATCCACAATAACCTCAATGAAAGACCAACAGGCAGAAATAGAGCAGCGTATAACAAGCTTGAGAAATCTCAAACTAAGGGTGTACAATGCTACGATAAAGTTAGTTCTAATATATGGTTGTGAGACCTGGAAACTAACCTAGAAAAAAGTGTTGAAAGATTTGAGAGAGACATCCTCCGTACGATAACTGGAGTGATCTGGGATCAGAGTACTAACACATGGAGAAGAACGACCGATGAGGAACTGCTTACAGAAACTGGTCAACCAATATCCCATGATATAAAGGCACAGAGCTTAGGATGGGGGGGGGGGGGATGTAGGTCGTAGTAATCCATCTGGAAGCCTCTACGTAACAATGAATACCTCAATAGAGGACAACAGACCACGTGGAAGGCCAAAAACCAGATGGATAGATAGAATCAATAAAGATGCAACAGAACTGCGGGCAGATAAATGGAAAGAAATAGCCCAAGACAGGCAGAGATGGAGCAGGCTTGTTAAGGCGGTAAAAGGGGCAAGGTCTGAAAACTATTTTTAGAAGTTCAAACCTTTGATAACAATAGCGTTTCTCTAGTTTTTCGAGTGATTTGCGAAATGGACCAACATTGCTTGCGATTGTTTGAAACTTGTAACAAATATGTTTATTTATAAAAACCGATGTTCCAGCTGTCTTAGTATTCACTAGAATTATTTAATTCTGTCCAGCACATACCATTAGGTTTGAACAAAAATTACGAACAACTAGCTATAAATATACAAATGGTAGTTTTCATTTCTTCTCCAATCATCTTACACCAGGACATTATTAATACGATAATTAAGTTAAAAATTGCTGGGCATGATGGGGAAAGGATACTAGTTTGTCACTAATGCAGCCAAAGTTCCAAATTTTAACTTTTGTTTTATCTCCGAATGTCCAACAGTAGGATTAGACAACCATGTGGGCGCCGGCAAATTAAAATTTATTTCGTTACAAATCCACAGAATGAATCTCGACCTTCCTACTATGGTTAGAATAGATTTGGTTGTACCCCTAAAACAACCTCTCTCCACAGATATCCCAAACGTGGCGAGGTAGAGGTAATCGAAAAAAAATTAGTCATCCTTTATTTTATTTATTCATTTTACTACTGTTGAGGAGTATTCATCCTCATGAGGTCTTGTGTATAAAGTGCATCACCTTAGTAACCACGAATCCGCCGGCGATAGAGATGGCCAGATAAGGAGTAAAGAAAAGAAAATAGGAAGTCATTCTTAAGAGGCCGTGCTAACCTATCGCTTTACCAATCTCGAGTTTAGCGGCGCTGGTTGGAATCCGGTAGACCGGGGTGAAATTTGTTTCGTGGCGGAACAAGGAAATAAATGTCTACGTTCTCAATCTGGTTAGAATACGTTTATCACCTGTAGGATAAACTCCCTTCCAATTTTCTCCTCCATATGCCTGCCATGACCAGGTACAGGAAAAAAAGTAGTCATCCTCAAACTACCTCGGATTGAACTTCATGTCAAGTAATCCAATATATGGTACATCTCAATTTTTTTTTTTCTGGTCCGGTAGTTTTTGAGCAATCTTTCCTTATTTTTGTTTTCTCGGGTTCTTCTACATTTTGGGGTTTTTAATTTTGCTGATATTGGTTTAACGCTTACTTATATATATATATATATATATATATATATATATATATATATATATATATATATATATATATATATATATATATATATATATATATATATATATATAAGTTACTGTGTAGTGGATTTTCGCTGGAGTATTTGTAATGAAGAATATGATAAAGAATCTTGGCCTTGCAACTGTTCATAGATACAAACAGCAATCGTTAGTTATAATGCAACATCTTTGTCTAATATGTATAATAAAATTTAACGTAAGTTCATAAAATAAAAAATAGTTTATTTTGTATTACTAATCATTTCAGTTTCTCTATCCAGCTACCTCTATGTGGCTATTTTCACTAATATAACCTGTAATATTGTTTATATATTAACTCGTAGCCTACCCATGAAGTAGGGATTGATTTCTAAACCTCAACCAATGTATCTATTTGCTTAATTTGGCAGTTATTTATCTGAAGTATTATAAATATAATGCCTCCAAAAAAAGGAGGTGGTTCTAAAGGTAAAGAAGAATCATCAAAAGAAGCTGGGAAGGATAAAAAAGGAGGTAGTGCAGTCAAGGTACTGGATTTATTTTTTAGAAAGATTGATTAAATTATTCAATAAAAAAAATGTATATAGTGATAGAATTCAAAAACGATGTACAAAAGCTTTATATAAACAGGTTAAATTTTAAACATTTAAGATATTGAACCACTTGATTAATTCAATAATGGTTTAATAAAATAGTTGCATTTATGAACTTTTCTATATACATTACTCACTCAATACTGTTTTATGGATAAAACAATTTCCATATTTTGGTATGTCACTTGATTCGTAGCTAGTTTCGTTAACTGAATTTTACTGAGTTTGTTTTCAAATTATTTTGTATGTTCTTCATTTATCTTTCAAAGTACTACATTATCTATTATTTTAGGTGAGACATATTCTGTGTGAAAAGCAATCTAAATGTCTCGAAGCTCTAGAAAAAATAAAAGCTGGTATGAAATTCAACGAAGTTGCGGCACAGTATAGTGAAGATAAAGCAAGACAAGGTGTAAGTAAAATATTCTATGTAAACTTTATATTAAAAAAAAAGCAATGTGGTCAGGAAAATTTTCATTTGATTTCCTGTTAAATATCCAGCTTATATTTTCTTGTCAATACTACTTCCCATTTGTCACTCCAATATGATGAATGGGCACAAGATCGCAGTTAAGCCTTCATAAGCACTGTAATGTGCTGCAATTATGAATTCTTAAGAACGAATATGAGGTAGGAATAGGGTAAGCTCAGGGAGTACGGCTAAATCCTGGGTTAGTGTTGCTGAGGCTGATAATTTTCTATTCTGTTATATCTACTCTGTGGTTGGGAGACACTCTTGAGGTACAACCATCCTCTCTAAAGTACACTATAAATTCTGGAGATAACCTGGTGGTTGAGCATGATCTAGGTCAAATCATTGTCTTGCAAAACAGTTGGCCTAAAAAAAGTACTTTCTTACAAAATAATGAATACAAGATCCTTCAATGGTTGTAGTGGTACAGGTTTTAGGTTATTTCAGTTTTGCTTTCAGATTGGATAATCAATGTTTTCATATATATGGGAGCCAAATGATCATGTTAGTGATTATTAGTAAGTTATAACCAGGAATAAAAGCTGCTGGTTGCCTATAATAGAGGCGAGAGGAGTGCAATACACCGGCAGTTGCAATACCATCATGACTCGTGGAGTGTTGGAAAAGCTATATGGTGGAGAGAGGACACTCCAAACGGTGTCCCGTGCAGAGTAGATGGGTAAGTGGAGATAGGATTAAGGAGGTGGGCAGCCAAGGGAGATAACCTTAAGGTGCATGTGGTGGGGGAATACCAGGTAATTATAGGGTGTGATATGTAGAGGAAGATGGGCACGCGACAAACAAATAGAAGGGAAAAATGGAAGATAAGGATAGGGAAAATCGAGTATACGAGCAGAGCGGCAGTAAAGGATGTGGATGGTAGGGCATGTATAGGAGCAATAAGTTGAGCTGAGGATTGGAGATTATCTGTGAGAAAGGAGTTCGAAAATATTGTCTTTAAGGAGGGGAATACATTGGGAATGACTGGTAGAGTGGTGCATAAGATCCCGCTGATGCACGAAAAGTTGAGTTATGTGAAAGAGAGGAGATACCCACTGGCTCTTTGCCATTAATTAGGGAAGAATTGCAAAGTATAAAATAGCAAGAAATAATTGTGGACAGTACATCACCGTGCAATAGTCCACTATGGGCGGTGAAGAAGAAAAGCGCTGTGAGAGAATAAGGAGAAATACCGGGGTGGTAACAGATCACCGCAAGCTTAATGAAAATACTGTGGATGAGAAGTATCCAATCCCTAAGTTTGAGGACATCTTGAAAAGGTTGAGCGGGGCGACGGTATTTAGCACACTGAACTTAAAAGCAGGATATCACCAAATTAGAACGCACCTGAAAGATTAGTCGAAGATGGCATTCACATTCGAGAGGGGACACTGCGAATTCACAAGAATGCCGTTTGTGGTGTATCAAATTTATATGGAGGACTTGTTGGTGTTTAGTAAAACCGAGGCAGAGCATGTAAAGCATCTACGGATTGTATTTGAGAGTGAGACAATTAGGGCTGAAATTGTCTAACGAGAAGTCTCTGTTAGGGCAAGACCAGATAAATTTTTTAGGTCACATGAGGGAGGGAGTCAAAACCGAGCAAAAAGTAGAGGCAATTAGGAGAATGGCCATACCTCGGGACGTAAAAGGGATCCGAAGGCTGTTGGGTACTCTTAATTATTATAGAAGGTTTGTGCCCAAAATGGCGGAATACCTTGTACCCCTTAACAATTTACTAAAAAAAGGTAAGAAGGTGATGGTGACTCCAATAATGGAGGACAACATTCAGAAGTGCAAGACAACGTTTTGACCCAAACATGTGTGTCATCATCAGGGCTGGGTTCGAGCACTGAAGATATTGAAGTACTTGAAAGTCTTCAGTGCTCCAACCACGCCCTGATTATAACCCAAACTTTTGGGTTGAAACGTCGGCGCTAATAAATACCTTATAATGGCTGTATCCTGAATATGTATCCATATATATACACACACAAAATTTCTTTAATCGACCTTTGAGTATTATAGTTTAACATGATTATTTAATTGGGAATTAGGTCACTTAATAATTATTCAATAAACTATAAAATGTTCATTGATCCTACTTCTCATTATGTTTTAAAATAGAGCCTCGATACCTCAGGCCAGGGACTCATTGACAGCCTCAGCACCGTCCATTAGCACAGATATTAAGCTACTTAATAATATATATAACAAGTTCGATATAATTGTAATGACAAAATAGTATTAACCGGCTTGCAGAGAAAATATAAAAATTTGTATAGTTATATGAATAAATGTTGTAATTTATTGAATTATTCTAGGGAGATCTCGGATGGATGACAAGAGGCTCAATGGTTGGTCCATTTCAGGATGCTGCATTTGCTTTACCAGTTTCTAGCCTAAGTAGTCCTCAATATACAGACCCACCAATTAAAACTAAATTTGGTTATCATATAATCATGGTTGAAGGCAAAAAATAAATGGTAATTAAAATTTTGTTTTATTTTGAAATTCATTTTATTTCTCCCTTTGTCCAGAAATAAAACATGTGATACAAATATATAAATAATCCATTTTTTATACAATGTAGTTTTTGTTTTTATTTTATTTCTTCCTATATATTTTTTTTTCTATCTTATTAACATTCTTTAATGCCCTATTTAAGAATATAACACAGTAGCAGTAACAGTCAAATAATTATTCACTTATTGGCAGATATGTTTTATAAACCTAATCTTATATTGATATCACCCATTGTAATACTTATTTCCTATGGACTTCAACATAAATTTATAATTGAATAACATGTTTATACTATATTTTTAAAAAAATTGTAATGGCAACTATCGAATATTTTAAAACTTAGAACAATGTTTTTTTTTTTTTAAATGATACAAAATAATTACAAATTATACAAACCAGCTAGTCATTACAACTAAATCATAACATAAAAAGATAAATAAAAAAACATTATATAGAAAAAGAAAGAAATTAAATTAAGCATTCTAAATCATTCAAGCTTTGGTTACACTGTTAATTATTTTTTTAATCCAACAAAAATAAATGTCATGTAAATAGTATTAATACATATTAAAACACAATTTATTAAGAAATACAGAAAAACACATCAACATATGCTTTAGATTCTTGTAGTAATAATATAAATAATACAAAGTTTTCTAGTATAAATGAATATAAACTAAATAATAAAAAAATAATTTTTTATAATATAAAATAAAATCAGTTCAAGATCCCCCTGAATGGCATATCTTTTCATAAAATGCAAAATTAAAGTAAAACTGATAAATAGGCACCTGATAATTTGCATTCTGCGGGTAAAAAAGAATAATTAAAGGCTTCTTAAATTCAATAACTTTTAAGTGCAAATGATGAGATGACTTCACAAGTTTTATCATCAAATCCAAATGTGAAAAGCAAGTTGGGTTGGTCAGGTGGTCTTGAATTTTTAGGAAATGTACCACAAAGGTTGCATACAACAAACCTACAAAAGTAAATTAATTTTTATTACTGTTAACATCTTTTAAAAAATCCACAATAAATAATAAACAATTAAGTCATTTGAAAATCAAATGATAATGAGTTTAGTTGAAAATATGGATTAAAATATCTTAGAAACTAATAATCAGACTTGCATACTATAAGCAAGGAAAATGTTCAGCATTTCATCCTCTTTATTAGCTATTATTTATATTTCATATTATTAATCTCGCCTCATTGATGTTTTCACTTCTATCGTGTCGTCTAATGCACACATCTCAGCTTTTTTAAAAATCAAATAGTAGGAATTATTTTATTATTTTTTTAAATTGTATAAATTCTAATAAATCAATCCATCCTTATGATACTCATAACAGAGGTTTTCATGATGATGCAAAATCATTTGTGATAATTTGTAAAAAAGATATGTTTTCTTTTGTTATGTTTACGCTAAATAAGGTTGTTTATTAAATTGTGAAATTTATTTCAATACACGAATTTTAGATGTAAAATTTAATATGTAATTCTACAATTATTTAAATTAATAATTATTAATATTTTTCAAATATAAAATTATTGTTTCTGGACTGTAATTTTTAGTTGTTTTTATTTATGACAATATGTTGAGCTCTGAATGTACGAAGTAAGTTAGAACAATAATTATTATCTAAGAAATAAGACTCAGACGGTATGGCCATGTGAAATGGATGAATGAGTATAATGGAAGGAAAAACTAAAAAAACAGATTACGGATGAGTAAATGACAAGTTATGATGTTAAATCAACTATGATTACTTGAGATTACAGAAATAATATATAATGATGGGATCCTGAATGTGAAGCAAAACTGTGAAAGTTTGATTGTGATATTTTAATCTTAATAATTAAACACAAAGAATAGAAATAATATTACATCGTATTCAAAACAAATAATAATTTCAATTTATTTAAATGATTTTATGTAGCTAAGTTTATTTATCCCGACATAGTTCTTTCATTACTATGTCATATGGTAGGAGGAAACTCACACTATCCTCTTCTCAGTATTTTATAACTTTGTAGCGAAGTACTTAATAATGAAGAAATGGAATTCTTATACTAAAACTTGATTAAGGCTGGCCTTTTTCTAAGTAATTTTTCCCAATGTAAATCTGATCTTTAAGACTAGGGATGGTGCATCTAGCATTTAAATTATTTCAGAAAATACTAAGATTTAAGGACTTCATTGCTCTTGCCAGTTCTACTAATATTATTATAACTTAACATTTGAAGAAAAAAAATCCACAATAGTATTCAATCAATGATGAATGAAATTGATTTATTTAGGATTTTACTGGTAATTTATTTAGTAATATTAAAGATAAATTAAATTTACCGTGTTTTATTATTGCTATCCTGTTCAAAGTTAACTCCTGCTAAACTGGTAATACCCAACATTGCTTTTACAATAATGCACTGATCAATATCTCCATCTTCTTTCTTGATTTCTTCCTGAATTTTATTGATAATGCTTCCATCCGCTTTCTTCTGAAAAGAATAAAACATTTTTTATTTATTTGAGGTATAAGAAACAAGAATAAAACAAAAATAAGTGATTAAGGAGAAAGAAGTCAATAACAAACCCAAGTATCTTGATCAAGAATACTTTCAATGTTACTCTGCAGGTTTTTTTGGTATATCAGGAATACAAACAGGAAAAAGTATCATAACTAGTGTTAAACGAAAAGAGAAAGACAGAATTATAACTAAATCGGTAAACATATCACTCACCCGGTGAAACAATGACGTAATTTCAAATCATACAATTTTATAGGAGAGAAAAAATAGTTAAAATTATTACTATAAGACATAATTTTTTAAATAGATTCTACCAGCTTAAACTTCAATCCATTTTGCTTATACTGTATTATGATGTCGAGGACGGGATAGCAGAGCATGTTGGGTCGCCGGCCCCAGGGTGCCCGGTTCTGAACATTATGGATTCCATTCCTACCAAGGTAGGTTAATTTTCATTTCCAAGTAGCGCCAGGAAATATATAGTCCCCACTCCTAGATGGTGTAAGCCAGCTGTGGGGGAGGGGAGGAGGAGGCCCCTAGGTCACTTTTTTCGGGGTTTCACTTATATCAGGAAAACTATCAATCACATCGATAAAGACGTTCTATACAAAATTAAAGCTGATAAAATTTGCAATATGATTAATTCTATATATTTTTTCGCTACGTCGCTTAGTTACAGAGATAAATATCCTCAACTATGGCGAATTCTGAAAAAAAAAAAAAATTCCTCCTGTTTATTGCTGTTTTTCTCTAATATCAGGAAAACTGTCTATCACATCGACAAAAATGTTCTATAAAAAATTAAAGCTAATAAAATTTTCAATATGATTATTAATTATACACCATTTTTCACTATCTCACTTAGTTTCCGAATTATCCGCCCCTAATTATCGCTAATTTGGTAAAAACAATTTTATCTCATATTTTTTACTGTATTTGACTAGCTGACTCTTGGCTGCAAGGCACTTCTTTCTCCTTCTCCCACTCTTCTTCCCACCTCCCACACCTGGCTCAACAACTAAGAGTGGGGACTTTTAGTATGCTTACCTCTTCACTAGTCCAAACAATTTCCTGAAGTCAAATGTTTTAAATAAAAATATAATTCAAATAATATAAAGGTATCCATCGTTCACCAATATTAATAGTTAAAAATCAGAAGGCAATTCACCTGTTCCTGAACTATCTGTAAAATCGAATTTTTGAACAATGCTACTAATTGACAATTGGATATCTCTAAACTAAATTTATAGTTGCTGCAGAGTTCAAAACTGAATATTAAAAAAAAAAAAGTTCCATAACATAAACGACCCCCGCTGGCATCATAGCCTACATTGGACTTATCACTTCCGGAGACTTTTGCTGTCTCGATCGAGGTTATGGTTTTCCAATGGTATTTTTAGTATTAATAATTAATGTGTGAAATAAAGATAGTAATTATTAATGATTTGGAGTTTCAATTTATTTATCTCTCGATAAATTAATGGGAGAACGTAAAAAAACTACCTATTAAAATAAGATTTTTACTAAGTTGGAATAGCGATGTGGTTTTATAGTTTATAACAATATTGAAGGACTTATAATAATAAAGGCTGCAGCTTAAAACACCATGTTGATGATTCAGCTGGCTTTTATAATATGATTTATTTTAAATGGATATAGTGATTGGATTTACTGACTCCATTTCTTAGAGTTTCTAGAAAAAATTCCTAAAAATGTTAAATTCATATTTCTGTTTAATAAGAATAACGAAGAGCAAAAAGTTCTAGATATAAGAAAAATTCTATATATGTTGCCGACTGGAGACTGAAGAGTAATAATATCTTGGCTCATCATCATAAATCAACATAAATCTTACAATTTGAAAAAAATGCGAATCTAATCGAGGCACATGCTGAATCATTTATACCCAAAAAAACAACGACTATCAACTCACGACAAAATCGGTTCTTTTCAATATTCCGCTATTAGACCAGGAGCTACCGACAATTTTATTAAATGGAAGGACTTATAGCTAGTAACCATTTTAAATTCTAGATAAACCTCATCTGAACACACAACTTCTGTCAGTCATTTGAAAGCCGTTGCTTTCTAAATGATAATTTAAAGTAACAAGGCGAAATTTGATGGTTATTTAATGGAAGAACTGAAGGCTGAAATTTTGATATGATGTTAAAATATGTTCCTAAATGATAATTCACCTTGACTGATGATATCATTAAATGATAATTCACCTTGACTGATGATGTCAAAGGCATCACATTAGGGCAGTCAGATGGTAATTGGTTGAAGAAAAAATTCAAATAGTCAGATTCTCTTCAGTTTTTTTGGGGACTGATTTCAGTATCCCAAAAAAACCGAAGAGAATCTGACTTTGAAGTTCCTGAACGAAATGTTCCATTGCGTATCGAGATATATGCAAAAACATCGAAATTTCTCAAATTTTATTAGTTTTTTGGACAGGATTTCGAAGCTGTGCATTTTATCGAAATTATTATTATATACGTTAAAGAAAATAAAATTTACTATCAATTTTATGCATATCTTTTTTATATGTAACAGGTGAGGAGTAAGAGAATATTGACTTTGCATTTTTCACAAGAAAAATCTATTTTTGTTGGTTTCCCCCAAAACTCATAATCTATGCATGTATCGAAGAAATTCAATATAATCAATTTGAAAGAGCATTAAGTTTCGTATGTAACTCATACGGACACTTTAATATGTAACAAGATTAAATGGCTGTTAAAGCTCAGAGAATTGAAGCCGTATTTCTCTTGTAGTATCTGCCGCTCTCAAACTAAGTGTTTCTTATCTTTTCAATGCTTTATTTTCGGCTAATTTAACTATTTTATAACAGAACTAGACTGTATTAACAAATTTCATAGCTTTTATGTATTAAGCTGGTATGAGAGACTTCAATACGCATAACAATCATAACAAGATGTATACTTACAGATAGTAAACAGTATTGTTATATTCTTTTTTTTAAAAACCATTGTTTTAACTCCATTTTGTTCATTACCCTTGTTTAATTCCAATATAACGACCAGGGCCGTTATTGACAGTGACAAGTGGATAGATATAGGTTATATAACGATATAAATATAAAGATGGTCAGATCGTCTATAACAATTATACATTATAACAACAAAATTTACCAGGTCTCTTAAGGTCGTTATAAATGACATCCACTTTATAGTAATTCCGATTTAAAAAAAATATTTTCGAACTGAAAAAAATTCTCTGACTAATAATTTTTCCCTGACTTTTTCCGGTTTTAAAATTCCCTGACTTTTCCAGGTTGGTCGCAACCCTGATCTTATGAATATAGCTCCTGCATTAAAATCATTTTTAAGAATTGTGACTTAAAAGTTCGACTTACTGAAAGATGAAAAAAGTGGGATGAAACTAAAGATTTTGCAAAACAAAAATAAAATGTTTCAAGTATAGCAACAACAATTTATGGTCATATTAGTATAAATTTGTAGTCGTAATAGAGACTGATAAGAGCCTCTCAGTTGATAAAATGACTAACTCCAATTTCAACATTTTTGATCATTAATTTTAGTGATATTTTGTAGTGCAAAAATTTATACCTTCATTCACAATTCTATATTTCAACACTGCAATCACCTACTCTCGAATCAACACTTTGCCTGAACAGATATTATAAATTTTCCAACTAGAAATATAACTAAAATGACTTTACTCAAAAATGTTGAAATTGGAGTTAGTCATTCTGTCAAGTGAAAGGCTCATATATTCCTAAGAGAGTTTTTCTACAAATGAGGTTATTCTTCTTATACACCGTTTTCAACACTTCTTTGATGTGAATATAAATTTAGATAATATAAAATAATTCTAATGTATATTATATTTCTATGAATTAGTATTTTTATAGATAGTTGTCACTTATATCTAGCTATATATAAAATCTTCAATTGAGTGTAAGAAGATTTATACAGTGAAATTAATAAGAATATTTGTTTTATACTTACAGATGCACTTTCATTTCCGTTTGCAGTTTTCAAGTTTTCAATTACTTGTTTCACTGTTGTTTCTTTGGTAATAGGAAAAGGTTTAATTTCTGAGTCATTAAATGTAACTATTTTAACATTTTTTTCAGTTCGATAAAAATAATGAGCAATGAGTGCAGCTGCTTCAACTAGCATTATGTAACGGGACGTCTGGCAGCGTTTCTTATCCATTTCTGGGCTGGACTCAATAGCTACATAATAATTTTTGCCAGTCGGCTTTACTTTCTGAAACAAAATAAATAATAAAGGCTGATACTTCATAAGTACCATATCTGTATCCCTATTAAAACAAACAAGTTGTTAATAATATGTAATATATAAATATATATATATATATATATATATATATATATATATATATATATATATTTTAAGCTGAAGGTTGTACATAAGTTAAGCTAAATTAAGTTTTTGAGACTTTTTCGAAAGAATGTTCGATATTTTGATAGAAAAGCCTTCAACACGATGAATAAAATAACCAGGAATTGAAATCAAACAAATTGTTTTGTATGAATTAAGATATGATCAATAAAGTAATTGTTAACAAAAATAGCTACCTACATTATAAAGATTTAGAATTTTTTTCAATCATTATCTTCTCATTACTTTTTGTCTATAGGTCGAATTCATTAAAATAATCTCTCCCAGCTCATTGATTATTCTTTATTAATACTATTATCCAACTATGAATTATCCAATACTGTGACATATTATATAATTAGATTATTATTTTAATAAATGCATATAAAATAAGTTAAATTAACATTTAAAATGTTATTCATTTTAAAATTAAGAATGACTGGTTCCGGATAGAACTTTCTTCTTCTCCTTTGTCTACCTCCGATGCCATTCCTAGCATCGAGGGTTCTTGATCCAATGCAGCCACACCTCTCAGTCCTGACTAAGCTGCCTCATTTCTTAAAGTTTTCCCTCTATTCCCTCCAATTCTGGGATGACCTCGCTGTCTCCTCCCATTGAGTCGAGCTTCCATCGCTTTCCGAGGTTTTCTCTCATCATTGATCCAACATACATGGCCAAACCACTTCAGTAGTCGATTTTCCAGCACTGCCTTTAGTTCCACCATCTCCCGTTTCCTTTCATTTCTGGAACGGTTTCTTCCGATCTTACCAACAGCTCTCAGTAGCAACGTCATCTCAGCACTTGTCACCCCGCTGGCCTGCTTGTCCAGCATAACCCAACTTTCACTTCCGTAAGATAGGGTTGGTAGTAACAGAATTGATAAATGCCTTTACGGTTTCATACTTACGTCATTTGTGCCCCCATTATGGTGTTACGGACAGGGAAATAAACATGGTTGGCTTTACAAATCCTATTTGCTCTTCTGGGTTAATCTTCTCTGTATTGCTAGACTGCCCCAAATAGGGGTAAATTCCTGCACAACCTCGAGTACCTCACCATTTAAGATCAGCTGGAATTTGTCCTCTCTTGAATGAAACTAAGATATTGCTCTTGGAGGTTTTGATGGCCATTCCCTTTGAAGAGGAGTTTTCTGCCATTTTATAAGGGCTTGTTGCAGCTGGTCTCTTTATTGCTATGAGGTACGATTCATCAGCTCCAATATGCTTTGAACCATTAACATTTTTTTTTTTTTCTCATGTTCCATTTACTGATGAACGTCCAAACAGTACAGCGCTTACAAATTTTATGGATTTCATCCATAAATATGATGAATAAGAGGGAACAGAGGCTGTCTCTCTGTCTCACACCTCTATCTATGGGGAAAGGCATGGACTCTCTTCCATCTCAAAACTCTTTTTGCTTCCTCATAAACTGATGTAATAGCTGTGAAAAGACCTCCTAGGACATTTTTTGCTGGTAATGGAGTCGAACACTGCTTTGAGATCTAGGAATCCATGTTCTTATCTCTGTCCCAAGATGCAATGTTGCAATGTTTCTCAGTAAAAAGATACGGTCATGAGTCTGCTTCCCTGACAAAAGCATGGTTGTTCTTCTATTTGGTTCTCGACTGCTGCCTTTAGTCTCCTTTCTGGGAATGAGGTGTATAGCTTGTAAGCCACTGAAAGAAAGCTTATTGACAATGAAACTGAACTCCTGATCTCTTGGAATTATCTTTGTGTCCCATAGTTTTTGGAGGAGTTGCTGGAAAAATTTAATAAGTTCTTGATCTCAAAATTTCAATAATTCTGGAACTATATCGTTCCTTCCTGCTGCTTCACCTATTTTAAATTTTTGATGGCATACTCTACCTCATCTTCCTCAATGGCATCAGAATTCTCGAGAATATAATTTTCTGCAGCATGTTCTCCTGGGTCATTAGGCCCTTTTGAGAAGTGTCCTCGATAAAACTCCCTCCACTGCTCAAGAATTTTTACATCTTCTGTTACTATCTTGCTGGATAGTATATTTCTCACTGGCTTAATTCTTTTCCATCTCAAGGTCTTTACTTTGCACCAGAATTTTTCAATACTCTCGAGGTAGTCTTCATCAAGGTTTTTTCCAAATTTCTCCCATGCAGCACTTTTAGCTTACTGATGGATCGCTCCTTTGCATTGATTTCTGGCCAAATGGTATTGGTTCCGTTTTCGGCCTATCTATCTTGCAGGTAGTCTTTCCATGCTTTCTTATTTAATAGGAGGACGTGGCACACTTTTTCATTCCAACATTCAGTGCGCTTCTGTTTGCTTGATATTTTACGCAAACCACAGACTTCTCTTGCCATTCCAAGATACACGTCTTGAAACGGCATCACTAATGTTCCATATCACCCTTCAAACTCGATGTTCTTAGTTTACTTTCCAGTTATTTAGTGTAGCAGGTTCTCTTTACAGGATCGTCTAGAGCTCGTTTAATGTTTGGAAACTCTTTTCTTTGATGAGTTGGCTCGACTACTAATAACACAGGATCGCTGCCAATTTCTGCACCTCTTATCACTTTAATGTCAGCAAAATACTGTCTTATGTTACAATCATATATGAAATATTCGATAATAATGTTTCTTCTCAGGCTTGAGAAGGTTATTTTGTGTATCCGGATAGAACCTACAATATATTATCTATATAATTTCAGGTGCTCAAATACCAACTGTCCAGAACTTTTGCATTCATTTCTTGTTTAATTTTGGAAACTACCTTAAGTAACAAATAAATTAATATTTATTTAATAAGTAAGAATATTCATTCATAAGGTGGTGTGAAAATATTTCCATTCGCTTCTGTAAACTTAAGCGGATTCATTTTAATAAACGTGAATACAGCCTTATTCACTTTTACAACTGTATTCACTTTTAAAGTGGTGAATACGGCCAAATTTTTGTTTACAGCTGTAAATACATATCATCTGTATTCATCTTTCTTTTTATGAATATAAATATATTCATATTTATATTCAAATGTGCCATAAATATCAATGGTATTCGTATTTATATTTTTGAATACAAATATGCCTATCTCTGCCCCCAACCATAATATGAGCCTTTAATCAATAGAAAGAATGACTAGCTCCAATTTCAACATTTTTTAGTAAAGTCATTTTAGTGATGTTTCTCGTTAGAAAATTTATATCTGTACAGACAGTGAGTAAGTTGATTCCAGAGTAGGTAATAGCAGTATTGAAATATACAATTGTGAATAAAGGTATTAAATAATGAAGAATTAAGGTCTTGAATAAATTTTCCTACTTGAAACATCACTAAAATTAATAATCAAATGTTGAAATAGGAGTATGTCACTCTGTTAACAGAAAGGCTCATATATTCCTCATAGGAGGTGGTAGTGTGGTATTTATTTGTAGGTCTAGCTTCTCATTTTATCCATTTGTTAAACTTATCCAAACCATTTAAATCGTTTGTTCTCCATGAATGTCTTCAATGGAGGAAATTCTCTCTCTCATTACTGCCAAATCCTTCCATTCCTGATGCAGTCTCACCTGACTTTTCCTGCTTCTAAATGTAGGAATTTTATATCAGCATAATTGTAAAGCATCATCCACCTCTTACCTCCATAAGTAAGGATAATGTAAGGAGGTATATATGTTTATACATATGAACCTTAACTTCCTTCCTTACTTCTCTGTTTTTACATTTACTATTTTCACATTATTCAACTCAATCAAACCACACCATTAAGTCAGAAGTTTTAAAAAATATTGAGATAAATGAAGAACCAAAGTGAATGTGAATTGATTCAGTACGAAGTTGTGAAAAAGTAGGGTTTCTATACATGCAGGTTAGCACTGCAAACAAATGCAGTTAGTTATTAAGTTATTAGACGGAGGACTATGGAAGTTCTTCTGAAAACTTTTCAACACACAGAAAAGTAATAGATGACTAGATTAAGTGTTTAGATATCGTAAATTAAATAATTGAGATAGTTTTTTACCTCATACATAATATCCATAAGTTTTATCAGAGCTTGAACTACATCTGGACATATCACAGGGGGTTTCTTACTTAGTTGTTTTAGTTTAGCAGCAAGTTCTAGTTTAATCCTTAAAAAAAAAAAACATTAACTTATGACCAAATAATTCTTAAATTTTATAATAGCCAAACTACTTATACATATATATATATATATATATATATATATATATATATATATATATATATATATATATATATACCAGCAAAACTCCACTTACCTAGCTGCATTTTCATAATTAACTAACGTTCTGAACACTTTATTGACTGTTACATTTTTTTTATTGGCTCCAGGTCGAGTAAGAGCTTCAACTAGGGTATCAACAAATACAGCATCCCAGGAACGAGTTCCCCTGAACAGCTTACGTTTATTCATGTACTGAATATGATCTAGCACTTGCATGACCGGCATTTGCCTTAATAATGCTAACCAGACCTAAAAAAAAAAATTATATATGTAATAATTAGAGAATTAAAATCATCTTCAAGATATGCTGAAGACAGCAATCCAAACCAACAAAAATTAGAATTATTTTTTGATAAATTTTAATCATTACAAAAAATAATTAATTTTATATGAAAAATCTGGTGCGCACAACAACTTTCACCTGCCACTCTACTTTGAATAGAAATTATTTTCTGGCAATGTTGGACTATTATAAAATTTTTTAAGTGCATTTTAAAGGGAGCTAAAGCTTAAAGCTTAAAGCTTACAGATAACAAATCATTAGGAACATTAAAATTACAAAAACTCTATTTATTAATCAATTATTTTTTCTAAAATTCTCAGCTCTTCAATGGTATATTGTATGTATACCTTCTGAGTGTTATTTCCGGAGATTCATTTTCAACCTGGATAAGCATATTTCTTCTTTTCTCCAGTTTCCAATTATCATATTCTTTCAAACTTCATATTTAGAGCCATTTTTTTTATAGTTACTGTCAATAACAGAGTTAATTTTTTTAAATAAACCATATTAAAAGTACTTCGGAGGAAGACGTATATGAACAATGGGCATTTAAGCCCTGTAAAGTTACATCGATAGGGATAAGATCTAAATCATATTAATGACCACTTAATTATACAATGATACACAGAGTTTAATCAAAATCGTTAAGAGCCGTTTTTGAGAAAATAGTAGGTGTTTCACCGTTGATACAAAGTGCCATTTTGGGTTAGCCATTTTAAGGAAAAAGTTGCTGTAACATCTGAGTCATATACCTATCTTAAATACGTAATGTCAGTTTCATACGACTTTTCGTTTTTGAGCTATACCGTTCACAGACACATAGACATGTTGCGGGACTAGGTTTGTTTGTTTGTTTCGATGTCTACGTGCAAAACATCCAGGTCATAAGCGCCCGATCAACTAAATAACATCATTTAATACTATTTGGATGATTGGTAAAAAAAATAAAAATAAAAAAAAATAAAATAAAATTAAAAAAATAAAATAAAATAAATAAAGAAATGGATTGATAAAATAAAATAAATAAATAAGGGTAATAGTAGACATTTATAGGTAATAAGATGTATAAAAAATGTAAATGTATAAATAAATAAACTTTAAAAAATAGCAGTAGAATCAATAAATGAATTGAGATTAATAAACAAATGAATTAAAAATGAAATGAAATCAAGTGAAAAAATAAATAAATAATAATAAGAGAAAATATAATAAAAATAAATAGATAAAAAAAAATTAATAAATAAAAAAAGCCTGTCAAATGTGTTTTTTAAGTCTTTCACTATCCAGGAACTTGATGACTTTGGTAACGATTTCTTCTTGATTTCCCAGGGATGCTGATATATTCTGGGGTATTCCAAAATCTTTTAATCTTGCGGTGTAAAAAGGGCATTCTTCCAAAATATGTTTTATAGTTAGTGATTGGTTACACTTTTGACATCGGGGGATAGAATCTTTTGTTATGAGGTGGAGATGAGTCAGTCTAGTGCGGGACTAGGTTATTTGGACTCAGGAGACCTCAAAACGTGTATTTCCGTTGAAAACTCACGATTCGAAAATTTTCACGATCGCAATACTTTCCCTTACTATATATTACATATATAGGTAGGTGAAAAATTTACTATTAAACTAGAATAAGTTTAAGAGATTTTAATTTAATTTATAAAGCAAAATATTATTTTAGAAAGTAACCTGTTTAAGTCAATTATTGATGGTTGAAATCCTTAAATCTAAGCAATGCATGTCAAAATTCTATCTTTACTCTCTTTCATTTATAAAATATTAAGAAAAACGTTAAAGTATGATGACTGTTTTAATAAAATTGTTTGGCTGATTTATTAAAAAAAAAAAAATATATATATATATATATAAAATAGTTAAAAATTATGTAATCAATCACCAACCTTTTTATCCTCTAGTAAAGCAGTACTGATGTGTTCTTTTCCGAGCATGTAGGACTCGATTTTTCTGAAAAATTAAATAAATTCATTCAAAAGTGTAAATATGTTGTAATAATTCATGTAAATATGTAATTTCTTTAAAGCATAGACCATGAAGATGAATCTAATAAATGGTCCTTGTGTTGAGTTACTACATAAGAAAAATATTAAAAGAAAAAGGATAGCAGACTTTTATGCATGCAACAAAAGTCGAACAGATAACTAACAAGATTTGACAGATAACCTAAAATAACAGTTAATAGGAAAGTTGATAATGGAATTGTAAACAATACTTTATGCAGACAGACCAAATCAACAAGTCTTAAACAGTTTCAATACCTCTCGCATGGCCATTATAATAGACCAATACCCAAACCACCATTTTGGAGCTTGTCCAATGGTGGAGATCTATTAAAAAAGTCAATAGAAAAAGATTATAAAAAACAAACATTTAGTAGACCAAGTCATAATAATTTAATTAAGATAATACTCACGCTGCTACTTCAGCAGGATCTTTCTTCTTTCGGTAGGTTTCAACAGTACATAAGTAAGAAACAACTTTTTCACATTCTTCGAGTGCACCATACTGTTTTTTCATTTCTTCGGCTCCGTATGTTGCAAACTTAAACGAGGCTGCTTTCGCTACAATGTAAATTGAAACCATTAATTATCACTTGTTGAATTATCTACTCATACTGGTTACTGGTTCTGGAGAGGGGAAGGGAGGAATAGTGGGTCACATGGTCCTTTTTGCAAATCCTGATGGCTAAGTTGAGAGTGGAAATTTTAAGATTCATTTCCTGGGGCCGCCGAGAAATGAAAATTAACCAACCTAGATGGGATTCGAACTACAACATTCAGAACCGGACAATCTAGGACCCGCCCCATACTTGGCCATCCCATCCTTAATTATCTAATCACAGACTTAATTTTTTTTCCTGGGCTTTTAATTGATCTCTTTTAATAATGCTCGTGATTGATTAGCACATTAAAATATATGAAATTAAATCAAGCATTTGTCAACAGTTTTGACATAGCGAAAAGGTCAATACAGAACTAGCTTCTTTCAAACGCCAAGGTTTTTTTAATTATTATTATTTTATTTTATTTTATTAAATAAAATAAAGGAAAAATAAGTTAATAACGAACAGTTAACTTTTAAATTTAATCAATTTCAATATAACCGAAATTTTTATTATCAATTGTTTTTCTATTCTTTTGCAACTAGAACTTTTCTACTATAAATGATTAGGCAGAACCTTAAGTTAAAAGTTCAATTAAATAAGTTCATTGCACCAAAAAAACAAATCTAAAAAATGGTAATTGTTCTTCACTACACAAAAAAAATAAAACTAAGAATCAGGCAATTCATCCATGAGAAATTACACCTGCCTGTAATCTAAACTCACCTACTAGTTATTTACCCTTTTTTTATTATTATTATAATTTACGAAATTTACAACTGTATACAAATTAATATGTCAGCAAATGTGATACATAGAAATAAATGGCATGACAAGGCTTGTAGAAAATCGACCTATTGCCAGCACTCTAATAAAATATCTACTAGGATTTTACGAAGGATTTTGGATTGTAAAGATTGGATACGAGAGGAATTCGATGGTTTAGTGGAGCCACAAAGCTCAACTCTGTAAGTCCAAATAGGTCTTATTATGGTCATGCATATGAGTCTTTTGTAATTAATTGAAAGGTAAGAGCGTCTGTCTAGTAAGTGCTGAAGTAGTCCGAAACGTTGATTTGTTTCTTGTCCTTTCAGTCTGGTATGAGGATTCCTAGTTAGACGTTTGTCCAGGTAGGAGTGCTATAGCCATGGAGCCACGACCCAAAAATTGACCTGATCGCAGATGAGGGTTTGAAAGTAAATTACGAAACTGTATGTTATTCTCAGTAAAAAGAACTTTCTCAGCAGTTCCAGAGCCGCTGCTTTCAAAAATGGCGGCTGATTTAGAGAATATTAGACCAGTAATTTGAGAATCGTAACAGAAAATCTATTGTGAAAAATGTAAGAAAAGTTTTTATTTTTTTAACTTGTATATATGGGTTTAGACATGTAAAAAACAAAATTGCTAACAGTCATTTATAGGTAACAGTTACATACATAGGTAAGTGAAAGTAATAACAATTCTGAACAATGGAAATTTATCAACAAAAAAAAATGTAAAATTTAAGTAATTCCAAGTGAATTCTATTTCACTGACTCATATCCTTTTTCTAAAAGATAAAGTTCATTATAAACAAACAAAATATAACTTTAATCAGTTCTCGCAAAAATAACTTGTATTCCTTTACCTGGGTCATCACACTTAACATGTGCTAATTTAATAATATCACTATGCCTCCATCCTTTGAACCTATTCATTGCTCCAATAGTTTCAGCTAAAGGAAGATAGTCTTTGGTTAAATACCATTCTTGAATAAATTTCCTGAATGAGCGGCCAAACCCTAATTAACAAATAATGATTGTTAACAATGGCTTAATCCAAAAATTTAAAAATTAAAGTAGCAAAAATTTAAATATAAAATTGTTATCAGATAATATATATCTTAATATCACCGTAAATTTATTACATACCTAAATGGATATATACATATGTACCGCTCAAAAATGAACAAGGATATTGATGATTATGTATGATTTATTATCCGTAGAATTTTTAATTTATTTCAATGTACTTTATTTTTATCATAAAACACATTGAAAATTAATTTAAATAAGATTGTATTTGACATCAGGAAATTTTATAAAAGATGTTTTAAAAAATAACAAATTTAGAGGTTTATCTGACCTTGTTTTTATGATTGCAAATTATAAACATCATGTAAAATTTAATAATTTGTATACACACTACCTCTCTGCACCAATTGATCATACTGTTTATAAAATTGTCACTGATTTCACTAGGAATCTCATACCTTAAACAGGGTAACACTGCTCTCAGTTGCTGAAGGTTGAAAAACTCTTTGGCACCTATGATCGCTATAAATACAGAAATGTGAATTGTTTATATAGGTAACAGCATTCCAATCCATATTCTCATCTAGGTGCTCACTGCCCCATGATCTGCGGAGTTGCTGGTGACATACTGTTGCTGCAGGTTGTCTTAAAGAGGCATAAGATATAGACCAACTTCTCACAAACGATTACGAATGGTTTGTGTAGGTATGGGTCTTGGCAGAACATTCAACATTTCATTTAGACCCTGTTGGGCACCATAAAAAAGGTTGCTCCTTGCAGTAATACTAATATTTCTGTCATCCCTTGGTGCCATAATGTGCTGAAATGCACTAACAGGTCTCCTATTGGTGCTCCCGTGTTTTCTGAAACTGGTTAAAGCTCGGAAGACCACAATCTGGAAGACGCCAACTGCACAGGCGATATTCACTTTCCAGTATCCTTGACTGCTGATTCTCACGATAATATTGCAAAATTCTGATTCAATATGATGTTTTTCTATTGTTAAACAGAATATTAATGGATTAAAATTGACAAAAGTCAAAAACAATTGTTAGTTTACAAAATGAGTATTATTCCTGTTGATTATCCTCTAATTAATAATTTATTAAAAATAAGTAATACTTGTTTTTTACTTTTTTGTTTACCAACAAATGAGAGAATCCCTAAGGAACAAAATAAAATTGGGTATATTAATTAAAATAAGCATCAAATAAAATTATCTCTATTCATTTTTGAGCAGTGTAGATAGATAAATAGGCAAGTTTTTCAAACCAACAAAATTAAATGTTAACTACACGTAAAATTTAAATTAGCTTTCAAATATTGTAGAAGATATAGAATAATATTGAAGAGAATAAAATTGAATCAAAACGAGAAAAATTTGAGACATAAGTTTTACACCAACAAACTTTTTTAAAAAAGCTTTTTCATGAGAGTTTAGTTGGGTAGGAAAAATAATTGAATTTAAAGACGAATATATTGCAAAATGTACAAAAGAACAACCAGGCCATGATGTGTGTAATGGAGGCAGAAACCTGTTCCTCAACTCCTAATTTTATTCTTTGGAGACAGCGTTGTCAACAATTTACTCCAAGCTCATTAACCACCTTTTCATTAACAGTCTCTTGATTAATCATTTCAGATCTAAGGGAACTCAGAATGAATCAGATTCATGAAACTGAGGTAATTAAGGTCCTATCGTCCTTTAATTTCTGAAAGTATGTTAAAAATATATATAGCTCTCAGATGGTTTAATACCATCATTATAAGAGAAATTTATGTGTACAGAACGGAATTAATGTCGAAAAGTTAAAAGAAATATAATGGGATGAACATAAAAATTATAAGTTAAAGGGGTAGGTCTTTCACTGGAAACAATATGTAAACAGGAGATGAATAATGAGGAAGCAAGTCATTTTTGGGATTTTTTATTTTTAAAAATGACTGCTTCCCGATCACTCATCTCCTGTAGTACATTCGACTAACTTCCTTCAATAAGAAACAATATAACAAAATTTATGTAAGTAACAACAAAAATCAATTAAATATCTCTTAACTTTTTATTTTAAAATATTATTATCAGTGTAGTTTTATATTTAAAAAAAAAATAATAAAAAGAAATAATTTTAATTTAGCTAATAATTTTGTTTTAAGTATGATAAATTAATGCTATTACTATTAAATTAATGCTATATAAATTAATGATATTACTCACCAACTCTTGGCTTAGGTTCAATTGATAGCTTAACAAAAATAATAAAAGACTGAGGTTCTATGCACAATATCTTTGCCACATCTAGAGTTTTTTGACGAATTTTGGCATTTTTAACCATTTCTGACAAAACGAACAAAGAAGCTTCAGGATAGCATGATGATTTCTCTGCATTAATCTGCAAAAATTAAAAAATATTGTTAATATAATGATAAAATAACTGCAGTGCGGACAAAAATAGTTGATAATACATTATACACTACACTTGTACAAAATAATCATTTAAATGACTAAATAATTTTGTTAGATAACTGAATGGTTATGATAATTTATATAATTTAAAGAAAATAAAGTACTGTCATATTTTTGATGTATAAGTTATGCTTTATGCTAATATTTAAGATGTCAGTTATGCCATAAAACTGAATCATTCCTTGATCTTGTAATAAATATGTATATATAATTAAGAATTAAATTTTTTTTTTTTTTTTTTATGACATTTTGAATAATGTTCACATACATGATAAGTACAGGACTAAGTGCATCTAATTAACTGGAGAGACAGATTGTTGTAATACTCAATAAATAAATAACTAAATAAAAAATTAACTGGATAATTTGTTTGGAAAAACAATAAGACCTGTGAATGAATTTTCGAGAAGCCTCCGTTGTCCTTACGCTAATGTTTAAATCCTCAGCATAGAAACAAATTTTTGTATACAGAAACTGCCACTTTAAAATTCCCAAATTAATTTTAAACTAGTCCATAAGTCATTTTTGCTTACTTTATTTAATGGATCTAGTATATGTCGGAATAGTGTTCAACAAAGATATAAAATAATTTAACAAAGATCAAAGATTGGGAACCAATGAGTTCAATAATTACCTGCACAGACCTAGAATTAGTAGAGAGAAAGGTAATGGTAATTCAGGTTTATGCTGCTATTGAAGGACCTTCAGAGTTAAATAAAGAACAGTCATATAGTGACCTCCCAAGAGCATTTAATGTAGCTAGAACTAAAAACAGAATCATAGTAATAACAAGAAATCTTAATGGAAGGACAAGAAAAGATAGCTCAAATGGCATTATAGGTCCATTTGGTGGAGAAATAGTTAACCAATAATAATGGATAAAGACTAGTAGATTTCTGCAATGGAAATAGTCTAGTAATTGACAACTTGTATTTTAACTACAAGCAAACTAGTTGACATTTGTATAGGAGAAGGAAGAAATGTTCCAAGTATTAAAAACTATATCATCGTGAGGTCTAAGAAGATACTTTATTGATGTTAAAGTAATGAGAAGGGCAGAACTAATTACCCAGTACAAACTAATAGTGGCTGACACAAAAATAATAATAAAAATAAAGCCAAAAGGTCAAAGGTATGAAAGGATACAGGTGAACAGTCTTCAACAGGGTAAAAAGAAGGAGCAATATAGTTGTATCCTGAGTGAAAGGCTGTCTAATATTAATATAGAATTAAAACTAGCACCTTCTGAAAACTTGTATCATCAATATGGCAAGAGAGGTATATGGATTAAAAAATATGGACCTCATAAAAACAAGACAAACAGGTGAAATAAAGAAGTGAGAGAAGCAGAGAATGAAAAGGACAGAGCATAGAAGAATTATATAAACATAAGGAACCTTTTGAAGAGGGATGAATATGTAAGGTGTAGGAACCATGCAAAGAGCAGTAAAAAATGATAAAAAGGGAAATTGGTTGAAACAATTACCAAGACAATACAATAAAATTCTGGAATACAGTGAAGGCACTTAGTGGTAGGAATGATAAACCTGTTAGGAATATAAAGGATCTCACAGCAAGCATTGCGACTAAAGATGAGAAAATAGTGGAAGTATGGAGAAGCTTCTCTGAAAAGAAATTTTCTAAAGACAAAGGACTAACAGTAGTACCCCACCCCCCCCCCATACCTAAGAAAAATAAGAACCAAAAACTAGTAGAGAACATGGATGACTGCATTCAAGGAGATGAAATAAAAGAAACTATATCTAATTAAAAGTTAGGAAATGGTGCTGGAAATACAAATATCTCACCTGAATTTATTAAGTTCGGAGAGAAAGAAATTGAAAAGACTCTGCAAATGACATCCCAAAAGGAACCTCTTCACTATTTAGGCACAAGCATTTGTATTTGCAGACAACATAGGTCTGATAGCAGACTCTTTAGATAATCTATAGAAAACAGTTATGGAATGGAGATATATTAATCTGAAAAGGGGTGTACATAAATGCAACAAAAAGTAAAGTAATGCATATTGGAATAAATGAAGAAATATAGAAGAATGTGTGGACACATGAGTACACTTGTAAACAGAGATACTCGCATAGATCCATAAATTTTAAACAGAATGAAAAAAGCTAATGGGGTCTTCTACCAAATCAGCAATACATTAATCAGCAAGAAGGGAATTAATAGAAATACCAAGAGATACTCGCATAGATCCATAAATTTTAAACAGAATGAAAAAAGCTAATGGGGTCTTCTACCAAATCGGCAAGAAGGGAATTAATAGAAATACCAAACTGTTGATTTTCTAAACAATATTTTTGGAATTATTACATGGACAATTCTGGAGAAGCATATATCAAGAATAAGTGCTGCAGAAATGATGCTCTTAGAAAAATTGTAGGAAAGACAAAGAGAGACTGTATAATGAATTCATTAGAGACGAATTAGTTATAGTCTCTGTGAAAGCAAAAATATAGGAGCATGCACTCAGGTGGTTGGAACATATATGGAGAATGCCAGATTCTTGTAAAACGAAATGGTATATGGAGGAAAAACCTGAAAGATGAAAACCTGTGGGGCGACCTAAGATGACAAATTGAGAGCACCTGAAGAAATCTCTTCTTAATTGGGAAAAATAATAGGAAATACATAAGACCATGTGTATCAAATAAATATCCTTTATTGAAGATAGGAATGAGTGGAACAAGAGGCTCGGGCTTGATGCTGGAAGCCACAAGAGCAAGAGAAAGATACAGAAGAAGGTTAGATAAAAAATATTGTATAATTCAGCAGAGGAACTTACAGCCATAGTTGATGAAGTAATAACGGTAAGAAAAATGTATATCATGTTTAATGTATTAAGAAAATTCAATATTTTGTAAACAAGATAAAATTTATAGGGTTTGTATTTACTAAGGTTATAAATGTATTTACAATCAACTTAAGCTATTTACTAAATATCTACTAATTAGATTGATTACAAGCCTTTCAGTTGACAGAATGACTAAATCCAATTTCAACTTTTTTTATTATTAATTTTAGTGATAGTTCTCATGAGAAAATTTATACCTTTATTTACAATTCTAGATTTCAACACTGCAATCACCTACTGTAGAATCAACTTACTCACTGTCTGTACAGATATTATAAATTTTCTAACTAGAAATATGACTAAATGACTTAACTCAAAAATGAACAGTGTCCAATTGGACAAAATTGGAGTTAGTCATTCCTTCAACTAAAAGGCTCATACAATACATTCTTCTTCTCTCACTATCTCCTTTGTGCTGCTAAGCGTGCAGAAGCTGCCTCTGACCATCTTGTCCAACGGTCCCTGTCCTGTGCAAGCCTTCTCATCTCCGGCATGGTGCTTCCTCTCGCTGTGCCAATTCTCATTCGCTATGCCAAATGCATAAGTGTTGGCCTGCCTTGAGGTCGTCTTCCTCCCGGCCTTGCTTCTAGAAGCTATCTGGCCTTATGGTCATCTCCCATTCTGTTAACATGCCTGTACCACTTCAACTGCCTTTCTTCGAATGTCTCTAGGACGGATCTAACTTCTAGTTCATCTCGCACCCTCCCTTTCATTCCTTATTCAATCTCGCCTGGTTTTTCCTAATATTTTTTGTAGGAATCTCATCTCTGCAGATACAACCTTGCTGGCATGGCGGTCCAAGAGTGTCCAGCTCTCCGATTCGTATAGTAGCACTGGGAGAAAAACTGATTTGAATAGCAGAAACTTCGCTTTTCTGCTTAACTCCTGCTTTCCAATGAGTGTCATGGATATTTGGTAGTATATTCCATTGGCCTTTTGGACTCTAATCATGACCTCCTCATCTATTCTTCCATTCCTGCCAATCATTGTTCCCAGGCAGCAGTAGGTATCGGTTTGCTCAAGGGTCTCTCCAGTGCAAGTGATTCTAAGATCCTCGTTCCTTTGTCCAACACACATGACCTTGCTTTTGGAGGGATTGATCTGCATTCTTCTGAGTTGCAGTTCTTCTTGCCACTCATTCATAGCGATCTGGAGCGATTCAGCAGTATCCGCAACCAATACCACATCATCTGCATACAACAATGACTGTGTCAACACTGGAGTCATATTCCAGTATCCCACAATTGCTCTTGGTGTCCTTTTACAAAATGCCAAATGGCATCCATGAAAATTATAAACAGCAGAGGGCTCAGGCTATCGCCCTGTTTAAATCCCCTAGAGAAATGGAATGACCTAGAATCAGTGCCAGCTAGCCTTATTACTCCCTTTGGGTCTTGGTAAACTGACTTAATTGCACTAATAAGATTTTGTGCGATTCTCCTGTGTGCATCCCATATTTCCTGTCTAGGAACATAGTCGAAAGTCGCCCGTAAATCTAGAAAAACTAGCTATACTGCTTCATATAATACATAAAAGCTATATTTAACAGATTGAAGACAGAATTCACTGGATAACCATGCCAATGTGCTTTGGAGTTTTAGAAATTATTAATGTTTTGGAAAAATGTATCTCTAATGTTTCTGAGTTGTGTATGCCTTTAAGAAGGTTAAATTTTTGGTACTTGTATACTACGCAATTGCGACAGAAACTTTCTTCTTATCTTATCTTACATCGCATAACCCCTTCTCATCTCGTATAGGTTGTTGATATCCTTATCAGTTATAATACTTACTGCTCTGATAATCAACTTGATAAAACGTGAAACCTGTTTTTTTCTGTGCATCCATTCTTAAGAAACTTGTGAAAATTTGATAAAGAGAGAAACAAATACTTAACAAATTTGATATAATGAACAAGTAGTCTGCAGAGGCAGGAGGTAAATTTAACTATTTAAAATTTTTTTATTCAACAAAAATTTGTTTCTAATGACTGTTCGTGTGAGGTCAATGCTGTCTCTGCTGGCATACAATATTGGCTTTTCTTCTTTTACTTTAATTTTTTCTAGATGACTCTAAAGAAATTAATTTTGTAAGTGAATTAAAAAAAATCAGGTGCGCGCAATACTGCTTTCACTTACAGCTCAACTTTGAATAGAAATTATTTTTTGGCCATGTTGGATTATTATGAAATTTTTTAATTACATTTCTAACTGAGCTAAAGCTAAAAGATTACAGATATCAAATCATAAATATTATTACAATACCAAAAGTTCTATTTATTATATAACCGGTTGATTATGGATTGTACCATCCGTTGATTATGGATTGTACGACTATTAGTTATTAAACTGTTATTTTCCATTGCAAAGTTTACTAAAACGGAATTAAGAGATTTGCATTGTCTGTCATAGACAGGTCAAAAGTTGTCACACTAATTGTAGGTGGATTCTGTTGGAATATCGCAAAGGGAAAATTTATCAAATTATTCACTAATTTAATTTTCTAAAAGATTACCTAAATATTTTTGGTACAAACGTACGATAGATAACTAATTATTTAAATATAATATCAGATCTAGAGTTATTAAACTATAGTAAATGTTTTTAAGGTTATAAATGTATCCATGAAATATTTTTATATTTCACTTCTTTCACACAAGTACAATGAAATAGTATCTTAAACTATCATTGCCTTGAATACGTGGTTTTTAAATAGTTTTTCAAACTTAAGAGTTTACGTTTAGTAAGAAAATTTCATTTAATTTCCTTGAAAACACCTGATTAACGTTAAATAATGTTAGTTTTTAAAAATTATTAGTTATATATATTTTTTTTTTTTTGTCACTCTCTGTTACCTTCTACAACTTTCTATATTATATTTTTTTTTTTTTAATTCTTTGCTTTCAGATATATTATACGTATACATTCTGACCATTATTTCCAAATATTCATTTTCAACCTGGATAAGTATTTTTACCTTTATTTATTTATCAAATTCTTCCAAAAATTATATTTGGTATTTTTCCATAACTCCTAACAATGATAAATAGTTATTATTTATAATAAACCAAATTAAAGGTACTTTAGAGACAGACACGATAATGTTGGAATTTCACAAAGGGAAAATTCAACAAATTATTCACTAATTTAATTTTCTAAAAAGTTACATGATAATTTTACGGAATAAACGTTGATATCTAATTATTTAAATATAATATCAGATCTATAATCACTAACCTATGGTAAATGTATTTAAGGTTATAAACATATGCTTTATACATCCATGAAATGATTTTATACTTTTTTATAATTTCTTTTTTCACACAAGTACAATGAAATAGTTTTTTTTAACAATACCATTGCCTTGATTAGGTGGATTATAAATACTTTTTACAAACTTAAAAATATTTTTTAAAGTTTACATTTAGTTAGTAAAGTTCATTTAATTTCCTTGAAAACATGTGATTTATTTATGTTAAATATTATTAGTTTTCAAAAATTATTATCTATAATTTTTTTGCCACTCTCCGTTACCTTCTACAACTTTCTACATTAGATATTGTTTTTTCTAAAATTCTCTGCTTTCCAATGATACATTATACATATACCTACTGACTAGTATTTCCAGGGATTCATTTTCGAGCTGGATAAGCATTTTTATTTTTTTCACCTTTATTCGATTATCAAATTCTTTCAAAGGTTATATTTAGCATTTTTTCATAACTTTTAATAATTATTTAGTTAGATATTATTTAGAACCATATTAAAGGTACTTTAGAGGAAGACGTATGTGAACATTGAACATTTAAGCCCTGTAAAGTTACATCAACGTGGGTTAAGACCTAAATGATATTAAAGATCACTTAATTGTACAATGATACACTGAGTTTAATCAAAATCGTTGAAGGCGTTTTTGAGAAAATTGTAAAAATATGTTTTAGCGTTGATATAAAGTGGCACTTCTGGTGAGCCGATTTTAAGGAAAAAGTTGCTAGGACATCTAAGACATATACCACAACGTAATATCAGTTCCGTACGATTTTTCGTTTTCGAGCTAGAATGTTCATATACAAACAGACCGTTTTTCGGGACTTGGTTATTTGGATTCAGGCTACCTCAAAACATGCATTTCTATTGAAACTCAAGACTCGAAAATTTTTATGATGCAGTACTTACTCTTACTATATATTACATATATAGGTAAGTGAAAGTGAAAAAATTTGGTACTTGGTACTGCATGGTCTAAATGGACTACTATCTGCCTATGTTTATAACCTGAACACTGATAATTCTGACAAAGCAGAGAAAACCCTATCTTCCTATTCATATTTATGGAAATTCAAATAGACAAAAAGAAATGTTATATTTATGGAAATTAAAATAGACAAAAAGAAATGTTATATTTATGGAAATTGAAATAGACAAAACAAATGTCATATTTATGGAAATAGAAATAGATAAAAACAAATGTAATAATAACAAAACACTTTTATTTTACAACTTATGTGTATAAAGCAATTTTATTTTACATTTTATACAAAATACAACACTTCTGGTTAGCCGATTTTAAGGAAGAACGTAGTTTTGTATTATTCTACTTATTGTGTTACAGTATTATAACATACTTTTATAATTATCTATACTTTAATACATCGAAAAGAAAAAAAACTTACAGTCTTTATTGTATCCAGAATAAAATCTTCTTTTCCATCATTAATCAATTCAGCTAAAGAAGGAACCAATTCTTTTTTGAAATAGTTGTTAAAATTTCGACATCCAGATGAATACACATTTGTTTCAGAAGTAATATGAAGAAATCTTTTTAGTCGGATTTCCGGTGAACTGGCCATTTCATAAGATTGAATAGCTGTAAAAGGTAATATAAACGTTAGTACACAAGAAAGATAATTTTACTATGGTAATAATCAAATTATATAATTTAAAAAGGAACTTTGCTAAGCAGAATTATTTCTCCACATTTTCATATCTAAAAGTAACAAGTCTTCATCTTGTTTATTATGATTAAAGCAGCAATATAAAAAACAAACCAGCCATTATTCCATTGTTGATTTCTTTGCTGATTAAATTTCCATCAATCAGGCAGAACTGAGATACACAAATGTGGGTGCATTTTCAAAGCTACAATTTTTTATTTCGAAGCCGCTGCAGGAGATCTTTTACCTGCTGCTGAGGACAGTTATAGGTATTCAGTTTTGCTTTCATTGATCACAAGCCCAACTTTGAGGCCATTTTTATATATTATTTCAAATCCATCTTTAAGTGATTTTTACTTGTGGTATCAATCACATATTTCTAGTCATCAGCATAAGCACAAATTTATAGTGCCTTTTTTAGCTGCATCTTCACAGCAGCATGCTAAGCTAAGTTGAATAGCATCTACTTGACACACTCCAGATTGTGCCTTAAACAATTGACCAACTTTGGATGATACATTCTCCATAGTCATGCATATTAAATTAATTAATGTATGCGGCACTCCATTTTTTATTAACATTTTTAACAGTTCTGATCTCTTGATGTTATCAATCAAATCCCTGCTTGTAATCAAAGAATAATAAGTGCAAAACAATATCATATTCAAAGCATTTTCCTATCATTTGTCATGTAATAAAAATATCTGTAGTATCTCAACCAGCTCTAAAACCACATAGGTAATCTTTGAAAATATATTTAATACTAAAAAATATATTAGGGCATTTGATTGATAACCAAAAACAAATCTTATATAGATACAGTCTGATCTTGGGACACGTTTAAACTACATAGAATAGAATAGAAAAATAATTTTATTCTGGGACGAAGTCCCTTCAGAATAACAAAAAAGTACAGAAATTAAAATTTTACATCTGGCCAGATAAAAACAAACATAACAAATTAAGATAATGATAGGTCATTAAAGAAAAGAAAAGAAAAAAATATTGGTAACATACTATATATAAAATAAAATAAAAAAATCTATATAAAAAACTCTTGAAACCATACTAAGATACTTAAAACTATGTACAATGTTAAAATATAAATAAACCCTTTTAGAAAAAATAAAAAATACAGAAAAAATAAATGTATATTCTTCTTAACAGTAAAATCTGTTTCTGTTGAAAAAAAAAAAAAAAAAGAGAAAAAGAAAGTCGAATCTATAAGTATTCAGGTCATGAGCTATATGTGGTCTTATAGATAATATGTAATTTTACATAAAAGATTAGCTGGTGCCTGACTGTTTTTGGGACAGGAATTGGAATAGGAGGGTTTTGAATGTAGATAAGGATGAAGAATGTCGAATTTTGATAGGAAGGGAATTCCAGAAACTAACAGAACATGCAATAAAGGAGTTTTGGAACGAGGCAGATCTGTGAGAAGGAATGTAAAGGTCGGAAGGTCGAGATCTTGTGGAGAGGGAGTGGACTGAGGACTTGAATTGGAGAAGGTTGTAGGCGTAGGAAGGACGATGATTGTTGATGATATGATAGAGGAATGTACCTAGGAAATATTGTCTTCGAATGGAGGGGAAGAGCCACTCTAACTCAGTGTAATGGTGAGAGACATGGTAGTATCTCGGGGCACTAATTACAAATCTCACGCAACTGTTCATTATTCTTTTCAGTCTATCGCGGAGCTCCACCGAGAGTCCATCATACACCACACAGCAGTAGTCAAAGTGGAGGAAGATGAGAGAGGAAACGAGGAGTCTGCGCGTATGTTGAGGTAGGAGATGGCGGAAGCAATGGAATAGTTTGAGGATAGAAACTGTCCGTCGGGAGATGTGAGAAATATGGTGACTCAAGGAGAGGGTTTGATCAATAAATAGTCCTAAATTTTTTACAGAGGAGTAGAAGGAGATTGGCTGGTCACCAAGGTTTAGTATGGGAAAGTCCGTATATGATCTAAGGAGGGGCTTGGAACCAATGACAATGGCCTGAGTTTTTGAAGCATTTAACCTTAATCCGTTTAATTTTGCCCAGGCACAGATTCGATCTAGGTCTGCTTGGATCTTAGTAAATGCTACCAATAGCTCAGGGGGAGAAAAGGATAGGTATATTTGAGAATCATACTAACATACTTACAATTACATGATTCACTCATCACTATTTTTTTCAAAAACTGTGTGGCTTTTTTTTTTTTTTTTTTTTATTACAGAAACTACTTCGTGAAAGTAATGATGATCTTTAAAACTATGTCTTTTGACTAATGGTCTTACCACATAAACCATAATTATTTATGATTTATAAAACATTAGATTGTAACAATATCATATACTTAATGTAAATATAAATGACTAAATATTAATGGAATTTAAATTTTAAGATAAAACTACCATCACAGATTTGTTTTGTTCACTACTACTATCACTACCATCACAGATAGTACCAGAACATTTGTTTTAGCAGTAGGTGAAGCCTGCAGAACATTTATAACTATTCAGTAGGTATGTTTCTTGGGTAGAGAATAGCGCCAAATGATTAAACCTCTAGCATGCTGATCTTATATTTAATAATAATGCGAATAAGTCTGTTCTTACAAAATAATCAAAGAAAATTATAGGAAAATGTGGAGTAGTTACTTTTAGGAATCAGTACTTTGGAAGTATCTTACTTTGTTCACTTTTATGATTCCCTTTGTTGCATTTTAGGGATATGAAAATTTAAAATTTCTAATTAAACAAGCAGAAATGTAAATTCTAAGTTGGTGATGATTTGAGATTTCAGAACTTGAAATATATGTTTTAAGTTATGGATTAAAAATTGAAAGAAAGAAAACAATCAAAACTGAATTTAAAGAAAAATAATAAATTTGAACCATACAACCACAGGAGATCCAAAATCAGAAATGAAAAACTTACGAATAATCTTAGCCAAGAACAATAAAACACTAATTTATACAAAATATTCTTTCAAAAGACTTAAATCCTTAATTCAATAGAAATAACAAAGAGTACAATAAGCAAACACCACTAAAAGGATAAGTCAATATAGATTATAGGCCAATTGGAATTATTATAAAACCATAACATTTTAGATTATTAATACACTACTTATTAATCTATCCAACAAAAAATTATGAATAGAAAGTAAAATTATATCCACATACCCCTTCAGCGTATTATAACCTAGCTGACAGCTACGTTACCTACTATATGCTCACTACAACACTGCAATAGTTTTTCAGTACTATAACACATTAAGTAGAATAATACAAAACAATGTTCTAATTGCAAGAAGATTTAAATTATGAAATATTTTGTTTCATTCATTATTAACATACATTTGTAAATAAGAAAAACATAAATAATAAATCAAAACATCATCAGAACTAAAATGGCAACACTGCTTGTAAATAAACTTTTCCGACATGACAGCACGTGGGTTGTTGACTTCAAATTTGGCTCCAGTTGAAAGTTTGGATTGAACATATTTACGTTTATGGACGAAAATGGCGGATATGTTTAAACAATCCATAATATCATCATCATTTAAACTGTTGGAATTAAAAGAAAAGAAAATTCTAAACAGTATAACTGATGCTGATTTGCTCTGTGGTTACATTAATAAATTTTTGCCACATAAATTTACCACAAATCATGGTGATCTAAATTTTGATTTATTTTTTTATAAGAAGGAATTTGAAACTACCATGTATGTTTAACTCAGCAAAATGTTTATATTTTCTTTTAAGGTAAAAATAATCAGATTGAAGAAGATTCAGAAAATGATGGATTGGAAATACCAGATGAGCCAGGTGAGTTTCCATATATATAAATATATCTGTTTACTTTAAGTTCACCTATTTATTAAAGATTTATCCTTGTTAGTTCTAGCTATAGTAATTATATAAAACTTGATTTAAATATTGTTATACCTGCTACTATACTAGTGCTAAATACTGCAGTTGTGCAGGTATATAGTTTTGCAAATAAGCTTTTATATAACATATTTTATTATAGGTGATGAATATTCAGGACGCAGTCATTTAAAAAAAAAAATGAGTAATTTTTAAGTACTAATAAATCAAGTACAAAACCCTCAGTGCATAAACCACGCCCTGAAGATAACCCACATGTTTGGGTTGAAACGGTACAAATCAAAAATTTTAAAAAAGACTGCGTCCTGAATATTTATCACTCATGGTATGTAGAACAGTCGAATATATTATAGATGAAGAGAAGGGTGATTGGGATGATCAGTAAAAATAAATAATTGTAATTATTTTCACATTCGCCGTAGTTCAGTTCTTCATCAGGGCTGTTCTATCAACAAGCGTTGACAGACCAAATAATTGTTGATAAAACAGCCCTAATAAAGGTCCAAAACGTTGGTGAATGCGAAAATGAATAAAATTATTTATTTTGACTTATCACCCCAGCCATCCTTCTCTTTAATTATTCACTACAGTCAACCATCAACCCGCATATATTATATATGTTGTCCCATAAATAATGGAAAATATTTAAATATGTGATAGTAGACCTCAAGAGCTATAAAAAATATACAGATCCTGGTGGAAGTGATTTTTTTTTTTTTTACTTTGTACTATTGTACAAATGTAACTCCACCTTGGCCACTGGGTCAAGATCCCGTGTTCGTCGCTTAAATGGGATTCCAACAATTATGTTTTCACAGTATAACCGCCCTTTATTTATATTGTAATTTTCCACTTTGGCAAATTCTCAAGTTGTCCTTTTCAGCTGAAATAGATATAATTAGCTTTAATTATATAACTGATTTCAACTTCTGCTCGCTCTTGAGGGATAAACAAACTCCCAGTGGGTCCTTTTCAGTGGTGTTTCAGCTCTTACCAGATGAGCCGGTCATTTCCGTCTACTTTCCAACATAATTGTCCATTCTTGAGATTCCATTTAGGGTGTGATCATGGGATCTTGTTCTGCTGATATCCCATACCTGACCATTTCTGGAAAAAGAGAGAGAAGTTGGTTTATAGGTGCAACCATACCTATTCTAACTAGAGTAGGACACTCAAGATTCATTCCGTGGTTCTACCACGTTATGAAGTTCAGGCTTTAACATGATCGTCCATCACAACCTCAGAGGAAGTGATTGTTTAACTTCTAGAATTTATCTGTCACTCATTGTATTAAATGCATCAATGAATTAAAATGGACTACAATAGGTTTGAGGTTTACCCTTTTGACTTCAATATCTTTAATCTAACGTCCATGAGTTCCGGAAGCCAAGCACCATGATTCCTTGACATGATTGAACTTTTACTAAAAAATGTCTTCTATGCAGTCATTATTGAGAAGAACCCTATTTGAAAACTGCCAAATTTGCAATGCATGTTTAGAGAAATAATTGATGATCATAAATAGCAATAGAATTTAAATCAGGTGCACACTATAGAAAAACACTGATGTCTTCAAATATGTGACATTTGCAGACTAAGATAGGCTGGATGCTTGGTAAGAAAAATTGAGAACAAAGTAGAATATTTTCTTAATTATACATATTAAAGTATGGTCAGCAAACCTTGCTGATATAATTTTTCTGAGGATTCTTGGTTTGGAAAAATCAGCAGTGGCAATTTTGAATAGTGATGATTAAGAAAAAAGAATTATAGATACCTTTACTAAGCGACAACTACAAATTGACTTGATTTAGGATACATTTCAATTATAACTGATAAGTATTAAAATACCAGCACTTATTTTTAGTATACAAATAGCATAATTTAATTTTTACCAAGTTCTAAATGTTTAGTTTATTTGAAGTTTGCTATATTTTTGTTTTAGCACAATCAGAAAATACTGTGGTGAAGACTAGTCGTGCTAAAACGATTGAAGAACTCTATAAACGAATAGAAACTTTAAGAGGTAATTTTTTTATAAACTTATCCCCACATATATTATTACAGTAAGGCTCGAAATCGGTTTTGTACCAAATATAAGCTCCTGTCATGTTCAAATACCATGAATGGGGTACTGTTCAGAATTTCATGGGGGGTTAGCGAATTGTATTCTTCACTTTTGTTTTCTTTCTAAAATAAATAAAGTCGATACAAACATTTTGCTAGGCTTCAATACTGGAACGGTAGTAGGTCTGTAGATTGATACGGGACAAATTGGATCTTAAAGATTTTGATGCGTACAACAACCTGTGTTAAAGCCCAAAATCGTACTATTTTCGAGATAACGCAAGGTATACGGTTCACATCCACATAACCTTACATTAATTGTAGTACTGTCATTGAATACATGTCTCATTTCGTCGACTTGAGGTCTATATGATCGAGAGAGCAGGAGTTTATATTATTTATTGATGGTATTTTTGATCAGCAAGCCATATAATCGTTAATTTTTCACCAAATCTCAAGTTTGAGCCACCAATTTCGAAGGCTTCCTTCTCCTTCAGGCGGGCAAAATAGTCCAACAAGTTATGAAAGAAAACAACCATTATTTGTGAATAACTAAAAAATGACACACTTTCCCCTTGGTTATGCCAGTAATTATATAAAAGATTACTTAATTCCCTACAAAAAGAAAAAAAAAATCATCGAAATCGGACAATTTTTAGCAAAGATACAGCTTATTGAAATTTGTAAACATGTTGGTTCCAAACAAAAATGAAGATTTAAATTAATTTTTGTTTTCTTTGTCAATTATATTTATCGATAAAGTAACATTTGATTTCTTTATCTTTTAATACGTTGCATTATTTTATTTTCTTATTAATTTGGCATTTGATAACAATATGCTTTGCGAATTTTTCGTAAGGGCCTACTAGTTTGTATAATTCTAAGTTTAACTTATGGATATTGTGCACTACATCATTTTTCATTCATTCTTATATTTCCAGTTTACTTTAGCTAACATCAGTCATAATTGTCTCATTACTCTTAATTGTTTGCCAGAAGTTGACTTTGGTGATCTAGTCTTTTTGGTTTTCAAAGTGAAAAACTCAGCACATCCTGATTTGACAACTTTTTCTTTGATATTCTAACCTTTTAAATAATTCTCCATTGACTGAAAAACTGAGGGTAGAGAAAGATGATTTGTAGGACCTTCATTTCTAAAGTTTTTTTCGTTTATTTAGCACGAATAATGGGCAGAAGGCATGCTGAAATATCTCTTTTTTCAATATTGATCAAAGCAGGGTGCATCTCTTAAAATTACATAAATTAGGAATTCTCAGTCTTTTCCTACTTGAGTGCTCACTTTTAGGTTTGACAAGCATCTTGAAATTTATAGTCATGTACCAAGTACCAATTTGTTTCATTGTTTCATATAGAAAACAAATAACTATTTATTGGGTTTTCCAGAAAATAATGTAGGATTTTGGTTTTAAAAGAAAGATTTACTACTGTTTTATTTAATCAGAATAGTCTCTGCTACTATCAGTACATTTCTGCTGTGTTGGCAACTTTTCTATTCCCTCAGAATAAAATTGATAAACTCCAAAAATGCATTTTCTAATTCCCTTTGTCCATTAAATTTTTGTCATGTAAGTAGTGGTCCAGGTGTCTAAAAAAATGATAATCCGTAGGCAGGAGGTGCGAAGAGTAGGGTGGATGTGCCAGAGTTTTTCATATCTAACCTCCAACATTTTTTGTTGTTTGCTGTTTCTCATTTGACGAGCCACTGTCCAGAACATCTACTGTTATCGTAAAGTACCCACTGTTCATCACAAGTGACAATTCTAGAGAGATAAGGTTCATTATTGTTTCGACAAAGAAGTGTAGCACAAACTTCATAACGCTGGTTTTTTTTTTTTTGTGGTTGTTTAATGTGTGTGGAACCTAACTGCCAAGCTTTTCTAATCGCCTTTAGATAGTCATCGATGGCTGATTTGCAAACGTTATGTTTCTCTGCAAGTTCTCGAAGAGTTGTTCTGGGGATTTCTTTCACCAAAGCCCACAGAACATCCTCTCATCAAGAGAGGAAATTCTTCCATGACTTTCTTTGTCTTCAAGACCGAAGTCTACCTCCCAAAATTTTTTGAACCACCGTTGAACAGTGCTCTCATTGATGCTGTTCTCGCCTCAGACTTGATTGATGTTTCCGGCTGTCTGGGCCTTTATGCGAAAATCGCATGTTGACATCTTAGTAAAGACTTAATTATTTCTGAGCAGCAAAATGCTACAGAGTAAACGAACATTAACGTTTGGAAGAGGATTTTTACGTTTTATGGATACATAAAACATATGTTTATAATCTTAAATAAATTTACTGTAGTTAAGTATACAAAGTATACATTGATTTATTATTTAAAAAAAATTCTCTTAGTGTTATAATTAAAATTATGTGGACCATACCATAGGAGGCAATGTGCGGCCTCTGATAATGATAAATATTTAATTATATAAATTAAGAAAATGTGAAACTTATAATTTCTCTATAATTATAATTTAATTATAATTCAGTGTTTTTGAATTATCCATCACAATGTCCATGGATAGAGAGAGAGTTTGTTCATGGGGGGAGGCATGCGTGTTTTACATGATTTTTACCACGTCCACTGCACTTTATTTGTTTGTATGCATGTTTTGAATTAGGTTAGGAAAAGAGGAGAAAATCTAGGGAATGAGAAAAATGAGAAGGAACAGAAAGGGATGTATAATGCTAATAAATGAATGAAAGAAATAGTAAAAAAAATAATAAAAATAAAAAAATAAAAATATAGGAAAAAAATTATAATAAAAAAAAAAAATATATATATATATAGATAAAAAAAAAATTTTATACTATGCTCATACATATTGTTAATACTATATAATTGTATATTAGTTTTGAAAAATTGTCTGTAGCGATTAATAAGTATGCTGTGTTTAAAGCAGCCCAATGTAATTGGGCAGCACCCATTTATGATAATAAAGTGATTCTCTCTTGTTTGATATTTTGAAAGAAAACAAATCTGGTGTGCACAACACACAACTTTCACTCACTGCTCTACTGCGAAGAGAAATTCTTGACTGGCCAAATTGGGCTATTAGAAGAAGTTTTTGAAGCACAAGCGAAGAAGTTTTTACTGGAGCTAAACCTTGAACAATGTGTTTTTGAATTTTGGTCATATTCATCAATATAAAAACTCATTAACACCATCAAGATAACTGCCTGCAACCTTATAACTGCAACAGTCTATTTGAATAACATAACTCCAGTCTTTGAGCTCTATAAACAAAGAGAGATTTGAAAGTACATGTATTTAATTATGAATAAGTAAAGTCATACTGCATACTAAAAATTATAGGAATTAATAAATCTCTATCACTTTTTAAATGTATTTAAATTCTTATTTTTCACCCTTGAAAAATTTACCAAAAAATTGTTTGGATGCTGTTTTTAAATACAGCATCAATAAGTCAAAATTCATAACACAGATTGTAAGTGTATAATGTTATTTCACTTAGTGAATTTTTTTTTTTTATAATAAATTGATGTATACTTTGTATATTAACTACAGTAAATTTATTTAAGGTTATAAACATATGTTTTATGTATCCATGAAATGTCTTTATATTTCACTTTTTCTTTCACACAAATACAATGAAATAAATTTTTTAACGTTGTTTTCTTGATTTGGTGGGTTTTATAGCTTTTTTTTTTCAAACTTAAAATAATTTTAAATATTTATATTTTGAAGGATGGTTGGGTTGATCAGTCAAATTGAAGTGGTTAAAAAAATAAATAATTTTATTTATTTTTACATTTGCCGACGTTTCGGCCCGAAGTTCAGGCCTTCATCAGGGCTGCTGTACAAGAAGTAAAGTCAGACCTAATCGGTCTGACTTCACTTTTTAAAATGAACTTTAATATTTATACAGCAGCCTTGATGAAGGCCTGAACTTCGGGCCGAAATGTTGGCAAATGTAAAAATAAATAAAATTATTATTTATTTTTTACCATTTCAATTTGACTGATCACCCCAACCATCCTTCTCTCCAATTATTCACTACACTCAACCATAAATATACAGTTCATGTTTAGCTAAGAAATTTCATTTACTTGGAAAGATGTGGTTTCCATTAAATAATATTAGTTTTCAGAAATTATTATTTATAATTTTTTGTCACTCTTCATTACCTTCTATAACTTTGTATGTTAGATATTTTTTTTCCTCAAATTCTCCAACGATACATTATATGTATTAATTTTAAACTTTTTAAAGAAGGGGAACAAGGTTAACAATGGAACATTACATTTATAATACCAACAATCAAATATTAATTTAGTAACATTTGGCAATAAAAACAATTATTTCTAGGAACCATTAAAAAAACATGGTATTGATACTCATTTTATAAATGTTTTGCATAAATTACACTTGACATCTTTTACAACAGAGCCACAGATGGATCTACAGGGGGAAAGAGGGAGAGGGTAGCTTTCGAGCCTTCTCCCAAAATCTCATACCTCCATTTGTTTTGTAAACAGCATAACTCCATTCTCAGAGATCTTTATACCTAGAGAGTTAAAAGTACATCTGTAAATTTAATGATCTAAATGATTATGGATTGTACTACTATTATTAATTAAACTCTTATTTTACTATTGTAAAGTTTACTAAAATGAAGTTACGAAATTTTCATTGTCTACCATCTACATATAATTCAAAAGTTGTCACAATAACTGTAAAGAGATAATGTTGCGATTTTACAGAGAGAATATACGTCAAATTATTCCCTATTTTAATTTTCTAAAATGTTTCATGAAGATTTCTTGGAATAAACAGACGGTAGATACCTAATTATTTAAATATAAAATCAGATCTAGAGTTATTAAACTAGAATAAATGTATTCAAGGTTATAAATATATGTTTTACTCATCCATGAAATATTTTATTTCTTCTTTCACACAACTACGAGGAGATGAGATAGTTTTTTAATGTCATTCATTCATTACCTTGATTGAGTGGATTTTATACTTTTTTTTTTAAACTTAAAAATAATTTTAAAAGTTTACATTTACTTAAAAAATTTCCTTTTCATTTTATTTCCTTGAAAAAAGTGGTTTCCATTAAATAATATTAGTTTACAGAATTTATTATTTATAATTTTTTTGTCACTCCTCATTACCTTTTACGCCTTTATAAGTTAGAAATTATTTTTTCTAAAATTCTCTGATATATTATTACGTATACCTTCTAACTGTTATTTCTGGAAATTCATTTACGGCCTAAAAAGACATTTTTCCTTTTTCTGTTTTTGTCAATTATCAAAATTTTTCACACTCAATATTGAGCCTTTTTTTTTATTAATTCTAACAATGGGACTCAGTTAATTATTTAAAATAAACCAAATTAAAGGTACTGTAGAGGAAGAAATTTTGACCATTAGACATTTAAGCCCTGTTGCATGACATCAATGGAGATAAGACCTAGCTTACTTTAAAGGCCATTCAATTATACATTGATATACTGAGTTTAATCAAAGTCGGGCCAGTGTCTTATACAAGAAAATTCCAAATATGTGTTAAATCGATTATATAAAGTGCCACTTCTGGTTTGCCGAAAAAGCTGCTGTAACGCCGCAGTCATATACAATCCTTAAATACGCAATTTCAATTACGTACGATTTTCCGTTTTTGAGATAGAATGTTCATATACATACACTGACTATTTTGTGGTACTTAGTTATTTGGGCTCAGTGAACCTTGAAACGTGTATTTCCATTACAAAATTTTCGTGATAGCAATACTTTCCCTTACTATCTATTTCATATGTGTGTTAGTGAAAGTAAAAATGGAGGACTTCGGTTGAGTTGAACCCAGTCACAATATATGATGTGACATCCTATGATTGGGCTACATATCCTGGTGCTCCCCCCTCCCCTTCAAAAAACCTTCACATTCAAATTTTTGGAGAATCCCTGCATTTTTATTTTGATGGTCTATTAGTCTTTGAAAAAAATAAAAGGTAAGTTTTAAAATCTATCTCAACTGTTTACTTTCATTGTGTCTGTTTTGTACATTCACAAATGATACCTATTTTATCAAAAATGATGTTAGATGAGTGTTTAAATTTCATTTAAATTGTTGAATTTTATTTTATTTACTATCTTATTTCTATTTAGGTGACACAATTTCTTAATGAATTAATTAAACCATTCCATATTTAACTATAGCAGATGGGCTTATTGGCCATATTTAATTATTACAGTATATAATATTTCATAGCAAAACGTTTTTTTAATACATCAGTATTTATGATAACCGGCAGCATTTCTCTTTCAAAACAGTTATTATGATGCCAAAACAAAGTTTTAAGAATATTATTAATTAATTGTTTGTTTTTTTTTTTTCAGGAAAAAGGACAAATTACAAAGAAAAATTATTAAAGAAAGGTCTCAAAAATAGATTAAAGAAAAAGCAAAAACTTGAAGAACGAAAAAACTTAAAAAAGAAAAACATAAAATTGGAAAAACTGAAATCTGAAGATTCATCGTCGGAAACAGGTAATGACACAAAGGATACTCTTATCAAAGAACAACCCGAAGAAAACAGCATAACATTCAACAAGTTCTTATTATCAGAATCTGATCAAATTCAAAAACCTAGAAGTGATCCTAAAAGTTTACTTACAAAACTAGAAAAAAAGAAATTAAAGTTGAAAAAATTAGAATTAAAAGGTAAAAAAGAAAAACTAACAGAAATTAAATCTAAGGAAGCTTGGGATACTGCGATTCAGAAAGTAGAAGGTGTCAAAATCAAAGATGATATTGAACTTCTGAAAAAATCTGTAAGTAAAATAAAAAACAGAAAAAATAAAAGTAAAAAGAAGTGGGAAGAAAGAGAAAAACTTGTAGAATCTAAAAAAGAAAAAGTGCAAAAGAAAAGACAGGAAAATATAGTGAAGAAAAGGAAAGAGAGAAGCAAAAAGAGGACTAAGGTGTTAGTTAAGAAAGGAAGAATTCTTCCTAAATAATATAATGTAATTTGAACAACAGATTAGCATACTGTTAACTAGTATAAGCTGAGTATTCTTGTAAATTATTTCTGTATTAAATATTGAAGATCTTCATAAGTATAACAAGATTTATAAACTAACTTTGTTTTTATAACAATCAAACATGATGTAGATATTTTTAAATTACTTTTTGTGTACAAATAATTGTATCTGTGATTATATTAGAAAGAGTAGTAATGCTGTTAAAGATTAGTCATTAATTATCTTTAAGTATAAACATTTTTAAATCTGCTATCCATAAAAAAATATATTTATGTTATACATTTAGAACAGTTTCATAATTTGATATTTTAATACTGAAAATAAAATTTTGCTTCAAATGTTAATTATATGAGGCTGTTTTATTTCTTTGTAGTGTTCAGTTTATGAGAATAGAATTGTGTCTTATATTATTTCAATTATTCTGCTGACATAATTTTTTTTTTTTCTATTTTTATAAGCCTCGTCTATTCTGATATCTATATGATATTGAACTGATCGATCACCTTGAAATGAAAATGGGCAATCATGAGGGCAAGATGAATAGCTAAAAGAATATTATTGAACATGGTATGAAGAAACAGGTGGAATCATATTATAGTTCAACAAGAAATAACAATTATAAAATAGTAGTTCAATTATTACCAACAGTTTCTAAGTAATGGAGCATCAAGAACTGAGGGTAGTAATATAATATAGTAAATAATTTTTTGGGGAGGAGAGAGTACAGTAATTTAGCAGAAAATATTACAAAGATTTCTAAGCTAAATATTATTAGAATTTTCAAAAATACATAAGATAAAATATAACAAAGAATCCAGACGTTAATTTATCTCGAATCTTTATTCCTGCCTCAACGTTTATTTCTTAAAACTAGATATTGGATTACCAATGGTTAAGTCTATCATAAGTTTCTTTAAAATAAGAATAACTAAAATTAATAATTAAAATAAGGTAACAGTTTAAAATTGTTTTGTGGTATTTTTAAGACATTGGTTGCTCTCTTCTGAAAACAAAATTACATAAATAATTAACCAATCAGTAACTAACTATATTTATGATATATATATAATGAGATGATAGATCAAAGATTTATATAACAAATGACTTTTCGAAACAAGAACAACATATGGACAATACAAGATAGTTAATCTTTCAAAAAGTTTATAGCTAATATCAACTTGTTGACAATTTTTAAATTAATGAAGATACAAAATTGTAAAATAAAACCTAAGCACAAGATTATCTAAAAAAAAAATAATCAAGGTATATCTTGGCTGTAAATTAAAGGGCATCTCCACTCCTCTAAACCAAACAAAACAACTATATATAAATAAATTTTTATACATCTCAGTAATTAATAAAATCAACACTTTAGACATCGCATGATTTTTAGCAATTTAACATGCAATTAATTAGTTCTAATCATAGAGGTTTTTAAAGTTTTCATTTATTGTAGATTCCTAAATATTTTTGAGATCATTCACTTTTGCAACTCTTATTTCCCTTTTTTGCTTGCTTAATAGATTTGGGTTTTTGCTCATTTCCTCCTCCGAAAAATGATGTAATAACTTCTGACATTTCAGGCATGTCATATTTAGTCAAGTTACTGAATTGTTCCATTTCCTGTACAAAAACAAAAAAAAAGTAAAGACAATTAAGGCATCAAAAGAACCAATTTCATTTTAACTATAAAAATGCCAAATGTTCATTGGCTGATGAAAAAAAGCAGTCCATAATACAGACCTCTTATTAACATCCACCTAGAACTTTATGAATAGCTTCATCTCATCGTAACCTACAACTTTTTTATTTATGAAAATTCTCAGAATTGTGGTGTTTTCAATCTGGAGACTGGCAAACTTTGTCTATTTAACTCTTTAGATGCGCAAAGCCAATATAATGGCTCGGGTCGACTGTGACACCAGCGCAAATATAGTGGTTCCGGAAAGGCCTTAGCATGCCTCCAAGAGCCCTTAGCATGCAGGGCCAATATAAGCTTCAGCTTTTATTTAGTTGTGCAAAACCAATACTCCGGCAGATATCTTTTGAGAAGGCAGAATTGATGACCACGGACGCGATTTTTTTTTGTGATCCAATTATCTTACGATTCAAGTGGAAAGTAAACGGGTATTTAGGAGTTAGTACCTCATTAAATTAATTACTCTAATGAGAAAATGCCCAATTTCTGAGAATTTTCATAGATAAAAAATTTGTAGGTTACAACAAGATGGATCCATTCATGACGTTTTAGGCAGATGACAATAATTTGATAAAAAGTTGTTTGTACCACAGATTAATATCTTATGAACTGCATAGCAAAAAAAAATTAACTGTGTAGAAAAGCCAATCCATCTATTTTATTAATTATTTTTTGTATTAGATGAATTAGAATTGAAAAAAAATAATAAAACAATCTAGGGCATTGAATATTATGGCTCTATATTTGCATTCATATATTTTATATACAAATTAAAATATAAATTGAGACAAAAATAAAATAAGAAGAAAACATCTAAGTAAAAATATATACATTAAAATAAGAAAAAAAAAACACAAAAGTACATTAAAGAATAGTAAAGAAGGAAAAAATGTCACATTCATTCCTATGTACAATATTTACATTCAGGCTAGAGAACTCCGAACTATGCCTTGCTGTTCTCATGTGAAAGGAAAGGCAGGGCTCAAAGAGATCCCAGCCGCATCACTGTTCAAAAGCCAACGGAGACTGAGCGAGAGCGGTAAAGCCACATAACTCAGAATTAATTAATTAGGATTAAAAACTGATATTTATAGCTAGAAAATTGTTAATTTCTTGAAAAATTATTGTAAATAGTGGACTAAATTTAGGAAACAAAAACTGGTAGTATGTTGGATAAGTAAGAACACTATATAAATCATTTTCATCGCACGCCCAAAAAGAATAAAACTTTTTAAAGAAGTGAATTTTAACTTAATTAAACATACCTTTCTTGCTTCAGGATCATTCATCATCCTAGGTAGAACCATAACTAACAAAAGGGGGAACACCATCATAAGAATCTGAGAAAAAAAATTTAATGTTAATGATATAAATATAGTATATATAAGAATTTCAAATTTTGCTAACACTATAGTAAAATTACCATTGGGTTAAAGAGGAAATCAGTGATCCTCCATTGTTCTCTTATGTGAAAGAATCTTTTAAATCCAATTGCCTTAAGTTTCAATGGATATGGAACTTGGATAATTTGTGAACTCTGAATATAATTCACTTTTCTGGCCCTGATTTTCCCCTTTGAATTGATTTCAACTCTAATTGGTTCATACACGAAATTCGGATGTGTAACTTCAATAATATATGAGCCAGGAGGAACATTGGAAAAAGTAAACGAGCCATCATCTCTGAAAAAAAAAAAAAATCAGTACTAGATCAACAGTGCTCCTTCTGGATGAAGAATAGCCCATATCACACTTGTACATGGAGAACTTTATTCTTTCACATGGTAATATTAAGGTCGAGTTAATTTCATTGTTTAATTTTAAGCATTAATCGATGTCTCTCCTAATTCTTTGCTATCAAAATTCCCACTTTTCCAGCACTGATAAGAAATAAATTATTACCTATAAACAAATCAATAAAACCATGTGGAATACAATTTTTTCTTTAAATATTGATTGTTTTATTTATTCATTTCTGTTGTTATATCATTAAGCTTTGATCTTTAATACTTTTAACATTTCATTTGTTATCTAAATTTAATCACATTTTTTATGTTTAAGTTCTGGCATTATAATTATTATTATTTAAAATGGTGGCACTCAAAAATTTTAAAATCAGCAAGCAGGATTGTAAATATTTCTTTGGTCAGAAACATAAACATTATGTTTATTTATATATTCAATCATCAGCACACAACATAACATTATGTTATGTATTCTTTAGTTGACACTGATACCTACATTTATAAGTAGGAAGAAACGAAGATAATGAACAAAAACTATTCCTACTCGAACCATAGGTAATTAGAACTCTGGAAGTTGGCTATCTCAGTAATCATGCGAATAAACTCTGCTATTCTCAGCACTGCATGTACAAGTACACCCATTGTCCAGAAGAGAACCAACGAACCACTGCCCCAAGAAATGTATTAGAATATAATCTTTGGAACATAGTTGTAAGGACAAACATGGATCTTGGAAGCATTTTAAGATGAACAAATTGGTTGAATTTAAAAATTTGTATGTGATACTCCAATAAAATTAATATTACCACTCCTACTGGTCAGAGCAGGATGGAAACCTACAGTGCAAACTCCTACCTCAAGAAAGCTTTTTGAGTTCCTCCTTTCAAATGAACGACAATTTCGCTTTTCCAATCTGCTGGAGCCCATTCTTCATCAACAGGAAAAACCTTTCCAGTTATTAAAGAAAATTGTACATCCTTGGTGTTAGAATCAATATTTTCTGACACACAATGAATGCTAGAAATGCAATAATAAACTACACCAAAACACAATAACACCTTGGCATAAACCAATCTTTCCATCGTATCTAACTTGGACACAAATTTCTAGGACATGCAGTTATATAGTAACTGATTATGATTAATCAAGGTTATACAACTTTGACAAGTACCATAGCAGCACGATGAATAAATAGTAAGGCAGGCATATGACTTAATTACAAGATGGTGGACGGTTCTCTTGACGTCATTGGCCGAGTTTGCTTTGACTAAAGATGATTCCACCTGTTCTGTTGTTTTTACTTCCACTTAAATATTTGTATGATATATGGAATGGAAACTATTGCAGTCGTGAAAATTTTCGAATCTGAGTTTAAATTAAATTAAATAGTTTTTTTGTTGTCACTTCTTATTCAACAAAAAACGTGGCTTACATGAAAAATCACAAAACTTTAATTCCCCACTTTTCTGCTGAAAATCGAACCCTTGTTTATTTAAACTTTTTTGTTTTTATTGAGTTCTGCTATCGCTCCTTTAACTATTTCCCTCTACATACGGGACACCATGTATATGGGTTTAGACATGCAAAACATAAAATTGCTAACATGGATCACCAAGAGAAAACTTTTACAGCCAAAAAAAAAAAAATTATGCGATTTTCGAATTCTTACGTATTGTGAAATATAATACACAAATTTTGAGGAGAGTTTTTTTGGAAATTACAATGGTTCATTATTAAAAATAATTTACTAAAATGTTAGACAATAACCGATTTTTTTATATCAGCGATAATTGAGCATGGGCATCTCTCACGGGCGGATCTACGGGGGAGGGAGGCTTTCGGTCTGAAGCCCCCCCCCCTAAAATGGAAAAATATAACCATATTTTATGGGAAAAATTTTTCAAAACTACCTCTTAAAGTATTATTGTTCGTGTAATTACATTTAAAAGTACTTAAGGAATAACTTAAACGCCATTTCATATAGGTAGTTAGTTTCTTTCTGTTTTTCCGAAGTAATTATCGTTATTTTTATGAAAAAAAAGGTTTCGGGCTGAAGCCCCCCCAATATTAAATCCTGGATCCGCTAGTGGCATCTCTGAAACTACAAGAAATAATGGAAGTTGTGTGTTGCGCGCACCAGATTTTTACATATTTTTTATATATTTGAACGAAAGGCATTTTTAAATTCATTCTGAGGAAAAAAAGAAAAAAATCTGAATGACCAATAGGGAAATTTTAAAAAAAATCTGTTGCGCGCAATACGCAACATTCACTTACCGCTGAACTTTGAAGAAATTATTTTCAGGCCATGTTGGGCTATTCTAAATTTTTTAAATTAAAGCTTAAAACTTACAGCTAACAAATCATAAATACCATTAAAATAACAAAAATCCTATTTATTTATTATATCACAGGTTGATTATGGATTGTACGACTATTAGTTATCAAACTATTATTTTCCATTGCAAAGTTTACTAAAATAGAATTACGAGATTTGCATTACCTGTCATAGATAGGTCAAAAGTTGTAGCACTAATTGTCGGTGGATACTATTGGAATATCACAAACGGAAAATTCATCAAATTATTCACTAATTTAATTTTCTAATAGGTTGCATGATGATTTTTTGGAATAAACAGGCGATAGATCCCCAATTATTTAAATATAATATCAGATCTACAGTAATTAAGCTACAGTGAATTCGGGCTGAAGCCCCTCTCCCTCCTCCCAAAATGATGAATTGCAACCATGTTTTATGAAAAAATTATTTCTAAAAGTATTATTGTTCATCTAATTACATTTTATAGGACTTCAAGAATCACATAAACACCATTTCATAAAGATAGTTAGTTTCTTTCTTTCTTCCGAAGTAATTATCCTAATATATACGCATAAAAAAAAAACTTTCAGGCTGAAGGCACGCCCAAAATTAAACCCTGAATCAGTTAGTGGCCGTTTGTGTAGAAATAATATATCTAGATGACTGGGAGAACCTCTGTCATATTTCAATAAATTAGTTTACCTTCTTCTCTTTCATATTCAGTCAGTTTTCTATCACCATCTTTTCTTGCTATACTCAAGATTTCTAGTAAATTCTAAATTGTAGGATATAATTAGTTATATGTGCCAGTACTTCGCTGTCCATCGATTATAAGATAACATCGATGAAATAACTATTGTACTGTCAAATTCAACTTTTCTGGGATCGTATATTACTAAATTTTTGACGTGATTTCATGAATGATTAGTGTTTGTTGATCTATTATTACTATTAGGAAACATTAAATGATGACGAGTATAAAGGATATTAAATGGAGGGTTAATATCGTTATATCATCTAGGTAATTGTTACTTTTTGTTTATTTATGTTTTGTGCTAACTTTGGTGGTACATATTCTAGAACGATGTTACGCCTGTATAATGGCACTCCACTTTCAGGATTGGGCCAAGATCTCATTATTACATTTTGAATTGTATTAAGATTGACAGCTTGTTAACCTTCCTTTATTTACACTGTTATTAACAATTTTGGCAAACTGCCAAGTGGTCCTCAGTTATAATCTGGGCTTCAATTTGCTTTAATTACAATCCTGGTTTGAGCTCCTGCTCTACTCTCCCTCAAAGGATAAACAAACCCTCAATGAGTTCTCTTCAGAAGATATCAGGGGCTTACCAGAAGTAATTAGGTCACTTTTCTACTTTCAGACAAATTTCACCATTATCAGGATTTCATTTTTGGTTTGGTCATGAAATATTGTTCCATCCATGAACGTGGAATGTCATTTGTATAGTAGTGAGAATGTAATTTACAAGTGGGTGGAGATGTATTTCTGAATGTTTCCAAGTAGTTCAGTCAACGAATGATGAGGAAAGTGGATGGAACACAATTTTTGACTATGAGATGTTTGATCTAGTAAGCAGTTGCTCATACTAATAGTCTCCACTCCTTTAAGCTGACGCAAAAGTGGAGACCAACTGAGTATTTAAGACCATTGCCCATTTTACATTATTGTGCATGAGCAGGTTGAAATTAATTATGTCACAGACCCATGGATCTTGACCTTTACACTCTGGTTAGTATAGGATTGGTTGCACTCTGAAAATTTTCACTATGGCAGAAACCCAATTATTGGTCAAAAGGAGAATGTTGCTCTAGATAATAAATTGTAGAACATAAATTAGAAAATTGACGATGAAGCACATTATTATTATTATTAGAATTAAGCCTTGCATCCACAAGAGTATTGGAATTGCAGTTCTGAAGATGGGAATAAAAGGTCCCGAAACGTAAACTAGACTGTTAACATGTAATGTTAAAAATATACTCGTATTGTTAATAATTGGAAGTTATTGCCAAGCAACTAAATAAATTGACAACTTCTCAGGAAAAAAAGAAAAATATTTTTATATGAAACAATAGATACATAGAAAAGCAGTTATTAAAAATTATTTTTCTTGGATTTTCGGCTATACTTTTGTATTATATTATGCTTTAAATTTCTTCCAAATTATTTGGCCCTCCCCTCTCTCCTACATATGCCCATGCTAGCAGGAATGAATTCATGTTTTTCCTGTTGTAAGCGAAATAGTGCCCTTTACTGGACCAAAGAATGCCCCCATGTCAAGTTCCTTTCATTTCTCTCTATACCCCTTTTTTGAGAACTCATTGACTAGACTAAAGTTTGAGACCTTAGTAGAGTTGTGTTCCTTGTCTCTTTATCATTAATTACTTTATTTATTTTATTTGTATGGAAAGTATACATTCATTCCCTCTGTAGGCTTGTGGACATATTTGACTACTTTTAGATTTTTTTATTTAGAATGTGTTCAACTTGATTCACATGTTAGCCAGACTTCTTACACTTGTAAATTAGTACTGATATTTGGATTGGTGATTGAATTATAAATATGAAAATTGTTATTATTTATAAGCATTTGAGATTTTCTTAGTTAAAAAGTTATTTAATATGAAACTCATTTTTATTTTTCAGAGATTTGTCTAGAGTTTTGGAGCCTGTTGTATATTTGGAATTATGGTTGACCGATGGATCATTTAAATGTCTTGAAATTCCATTATCCAAATTTCATACATTGAGACAAAATGTTGCACTTCTTTTAAAAGAAATTGATGTTATTAATAGAAAAGGAACCAATATTATGAGAATTATTGGACCTTTAAATTAATTTCATATAATTATGTTTTTATATTAGTATGTTTTTAAAATGTTTAATCAAGGAAAATTGAACATAAAAGACAGACCATTAAATCATACTAAAACATGATATATATTATTTGAAAAAACTTAATGATATTAAGGTCGAGAGCACATTGAGATACAGTTAAGGTAGAGTGAAGTCAGAGATGGGCATAATCTAAATCAATTTTGTGTCTTGATCATAGCTATGATTACAATTACAATATTACAATCAAGTGATCATATCTTGTTTTTTTTACTGTAATTGTAATGTTTGATTATGTGATTCCATCTCTGAGCATAATATTGATTCATAGTGTGCATAGATTCTTTATCTCTGATGCCAAACAGACCTGATGCAACTTAGTGTTGCCTCTCAATTTATGCTATCTTTTTCTTAAACATAAGTCACAAAAATTGTGTCCCACTTCGCTGCTTTAACTGCATCTCAAAATGCATCCAGCCGAACTAACTTGATTTGTCTATAAAAGCTTTATGCCCTATAACATTGATTATTTTTAGTTCATAAAGTGGGAAGTTATATTTTTTTATGTTTAAAACATTAAATAAATTATATTATGAAGATATCTAAAACAAATAAATCATTTCTATATTTATTTACATCCCTGCCGTGCCTTATAGGCAATACGGGTTTTAGCAGCAGTGAGATGTTGCGTTTCCGCGTAACAACACACTGCTGCTAGAAAAACAATATTTATAAACTGGGTCCATATTTCGATTACATTTCTTCTAGGTTTGGTCACGGTCTTCTGCTACTCCGTCCGGCGGCCTTCCAGGCGGTGCAGCTCCTCTTCTTCCCAAAGAGAAATGAATTGGGCCTATAATGGATTTCCATTTTGTAATAAAATCTTTAAAATGAGGATAGTTTTTCTCACTCATGAGTTGAGGGAGATCTCTCTCAGTCAAAACGTAGAGACCGGTTTCCCTCAGCAGTTTTGCTCTCTGTGCCTCATAGGCAGTACACGCTACGACAATGTGCTCGGCAGTCTCTGGGACTCCACAACTGGGGCACAAGGGCTCGATATTCTTTCCAAATTGAAAAAGCTTTGCTTGGAAGCCCCTTTGTCCAGTGAGTAGTTGAAAGCCTTACTCATAACAGGGAGGAGACAGATAGGCCTATAAGACTTGGCCATTTGTTTATCCTTGTCACCTCCCTTGTAAATAAGTCTGAGATCGGCAATTTTCCACTTTTTTGGGAAGTAGCCCCTATCTAAGCAATCATTGAATATTGCCAGGAGTTGATCTTCAATATAGGGGATACTATTTCGGAGTATTGCCGTGTCAACATTATCAATACCTGGGGCACGACCAAGCCTTTGTCTATCCATGGCAGTACGGAGATCCCATATGTCTCAGGGTGGGCACAAGTCTGTACTGGGTGGGCATACCGGAGTGCGTCTAATAAATGCCTCTTCTTCGCCATGTTGGGACGGGTCGTCTCTGGAGTAGGTCTCTATAATGAAATTTTTCGCCGTCTCCTCCAGAGTGGCCACCTGCACATCACCGCTCTTTATTGCTGCAATCACCTGTTGTGGACTCATCTTAGCGCCACTCTGTAAGGGATACCCCAGGGGTTCTTGGATGACTCGTCGACGATAAACTCGTCCCAAGACTTCCGCTTTAGTGACCGCACTTCGTTTCGGTATGCCCTGAAACCATTTGTATAGTATGATTAGTTATTACTGGTATTATGTTATTATATTTGTTATATTACTTCTATTCTTTTTTTTTATTTTTATTATTTTAATGGAATTTACAACTGTATTACACAGAAAATACCATAAGTAAATGTGAAATTGGTAACATGACATGTACAACATGAAGAGAAACTACCCATTGGTAGAACTCAAATACTTCTATTGGTAAATAAAATTTATTGAATCAGATCAGACATCCCAACACATTCTGTAAGTTATGATCTATTAATACGAGAAAATATTGTGTTATTCTTCCATTGAACCATGAAGACTACTTAACTGTTTCAGTTCCTCTTTAGGCATTCTTTATTCCTTCAAGGGCCATCAAATTACATTTTTGTTGCTGTTATGATCCTTATATATTATCCTTTTTTTCCCCCGTTCTCCCATTCCTCGCCTTTTAGGCTATATGGGGTTTTCCCGGACCAGGGGATGAGGACGCGGGATTAATGCCAGAGTTAAAACCCCACTGGCACCAGGATGTGAATTTGTATTTATTTTATTCCGCATAAATTCGGTTATTAAGTTGCTGGACAACACATGTTGCTGTGCACACACATTATGCCCAGCCCATCCATCCCTAAAGAATTATGATGGAGCCATTCTTGAACCGGTAACCACCTATATCAGAGAATAGTACGCTAGCCACTGCACTGTGAAAGCACTTCCTTATATTTTATCTATACTTATTGGACATAGGAACAGATTTCGAGGGAAGGGAGGGAGCAATCGCCCAATAGAGAGGGGGCAAGAATATTGTCCCCTTCCCCAATATTTCGAAGAAAAATAATATAATCAATAACTTTAGAGGGAGGGGGAGGAGAGGAGATTCCATGGCCCCCCTAACCAAAATGGAAAGTCTGCACCTATGCTATTGAATTTTTCACAAATAAAATTTTTTTTAAGAATGATTCCCATGCTTAACATGATTCTTTAAAAGCAAAGAATAAAGTGGGTTTACTGAAAGGGATGAGAAGAGCTAGTTAAAACTTGCACATTTACCCTAATGTAGCTTCAGTATTACCAATTAGAGAAATTAGTAACCATTGTCTCTCTAAGCCAGTGGTTCTCAACTTTGCATACATACACCAGTTCATGTAATTTCTTTTTTGATACGATATCAAGAATTACTTTTATGCCATTTCATATAGATAGTTCCTTTTTCTAACTTTCTTTTTTTTTGGGGAGGGGAGAGGGTCTTCGCCTTTAAGGCTATACGAGTTTTTTTCCGGGTCAGGGGATGTGGGCCGGGATTTAAAACCTCCCCCCGACACAGGAACGCGAACTTCTGACTAATTTTTATCATATACCTCGTTGCCGGGCAACGGCGGTACAGTACACATTCGTTAGCACATTCGCCCACACTTCCTTTTTCTAACTATGTAATTATCATTTTATATATATATAAACCTTTTCGGCAGACAGGTTAGACATTCGACGCCACCGGTCAATGATGTCAACTCCATCCCCCCTAAAAAAATTAAGTTTGATATTTAAGCTGTATTTTTTTTTCTATTGGTATTACAGACCATGTAGATCTTTTGTCATCTTAACAATTCTGCTCCATCTCTGCCTATCTTGGGCTATTTCTTTCCATTTATCTGAATGTAACTCTATTGCATCTCTGTTAATTCTATCAAGCCATCTGCTTTTTGTCCTTCCACATGGTGTTTTGCCTGCTATTGATGCATTCATTGTTACGTAGAAGCTTCCAGATGGATTGCTATATGCCCCGCCCATCTTAATCTCTGTGCCTTCATATCATAGGATATTGATTGATCAGGTTATTTAAGCAGTTCTTTATTGGTCTTTCTTATCGTGCGGTGGATTTTCCTCGTTCTTCTCTACCTCGCCAAATTTTGGCTATACGGGATTTTCCCGGGCCGGAGGGTGAGGGCGGGGAATTTAAAATCCCCTCCGGCACAGGGACGCGGACTCGTACTTATTTTGGTTTCTCAAAACTTCATATATCTGGTTGCCGGGCAACACGCTTTAGCCCATTCGGCCACCTCACCCCCTACGAATAGTAAACTTAACTACACCCTTGGGCAACCTTCGCTAGGAGTTTCTTCCGAGTAGTAAGGGTATATTCGATTACCCTGAGGGGCAGCCCCCAACCATAGTAGAACTGGACAGGCCGATGACATGCTCGTCCAAATTTTTAATTATCACGTGCAACGGAAGATATACAGCCGGACAGCTCTTAGAGAATTCGATTTATGTTTAAGGAAACCTTAATGAATACTGTGGTCAAAGAATGGAAATTTGTAAGCGACCGCCTGATGACATTTGACCTAGAAGAAGGAAACGTCCTGAAGACCATCATCGTAGATTGTGGGCCTAACGACAACGCCATTGCAACTGAAAAAGAGTTCTTTGACAGCATTCAGAGAGAGATATATGATGCACGAGGGGAACCAATTATCGTTGGAGATTTGAATGGCAGAGTTGGAAGAGATTCCCACTAGTGGCCTAATGTTTTAGGTGTTCGTGGAGAAGATGTCAAAAATGATAATGGGGAAAGAATACTCCTACTATGTGCAAGCAATGGATTGATCTTTGCTAACACCAAATTTCCTTACAAGAATCCATACAAATTTACTAGAGAAGAACCAAGTACAAATGGAAAGTCTGTTATAAACTATTTCCTGGTTATGAGATACACAAAGAAAAAAATTGATCGAATTGTGAATTAAAAGATGATTTTAAATAGGAAGTGACCACTACTTACTGAAGATGGATTTGTTATGGATGAAGAAAGAAAGAAAGAAGCACAAGAGGGGTGCAAGAAAGATTCGAGAAGTGATAAAAGCACACAGACTAAAAGAAGAGGATAAAATTGCTATCTGCTGCTGATGGAATGTCTCTGAGGCAGAATCATTATCTTGATGTGGATGACCTAGTCTAAATAATTATAGATCCCAACACAAGCGCACGCGTATATGTGTATACATACATATATGATGGAGCAAGATTCTCAGTCGTTTTAATCTTATGAATTATTTTTCTAAAAGATTGAAAAGCATTTTACTTTAAACCACTAGCAGATCCAGGATTTAATTTTTTTTTTTGGGAGGGGGGGCTTCACCCTGAAAGCTTTTCTATATATCTAACGATAATTACTTTGGAAATAAAGAAACTATGAACATATGAAATGGTGTTTAAGTGATTCATGAAGTCTTATTAAATGTAATTTCACGGACAATAACTTTAAGAGATATTCTTTCCATAGAACAGTTATATTTTACCATTTTGGGGAGAGGGGCTTCAGTCCGAGTTTGTGTGACAACTTCCACTTACCACCCTCTTAGCAGAAATAAGTATTTTCAGACAAAGCGAAAGTAAACGTTACAATTGTAGATGCTATATTTATTTATATTTCATTGTGGATATTTTTATTTACGAGAAATACGAGTTCGTAACTGAGAATAGTTATATTGGAGGAACCAATGGGATAAGAGCTCGCCTGAAAGATAACAGTTTTCCATACATAACGTGAGCTTAATATAATATGGACTCCGACCATATTATAAACATATACATATGCAGTTTTCATAAATGCTATCGTGGATATAAAATAATATTTAGTTGTATACCGCCAGTAACAATTATAGAACTGGATTCAGTTCTAAAAGTAATGAAAAATAGAAAATCTCCCGGTTCCGGTTCTATTCCAATTGAATTAATTAAAGCAGGCCCTATCGAACTCAAAATGGCACTGGCAGAGAGTATGACACTTCTGTTAAATGGTGGAGAGATCTCCGAGGAAAGGAAGCAGGGTTATATCACCCCAGTTTTCAAAAAAGGCCAAAAGAAAGATGTTTCCACTTACAGAGATACTACCAGCTCGCTGAGTAGATTATACGGCCGAATAATTAAAAGCAGAATCG